TATATCGGATGAAGTTTTCAGCGCGGAGCAATCCGTCATCAGGCAACATTCAGCGTAACGTCAATGTCGGGTAAACACAGATTGAATAACAAAACTGTTCAAGTTTCCATTGTCTGATTTTCAATCAATGTTGCAGGATAAAAAGACTACATGGTCAGTCTCTCGGGACAGAAAGACGAAAAATGGCTTTCCAGAGGGTCGCCACTTTCGTCTTTCTTCACCTTGCCAAAATATAGCTTATGTATTAAGATACTGACCATGTATTCTCCATATATTGTAAGCTGTCAACTGGAAATGATACTGAACATGAACTTCGACAGTAGTATATATATATATTTAACCATTTATCAGATTTGAATCTGTTCAGGAATAACAATAAAGATGGATAATTGATACATGTAGGTAACACTGCTACTGGCCCTTGCTAATATACATTGTCACGAAGTGCAGTGATATAAAATCGCTGGTATATATACAACACCAATAAACACAGGATCTGTGTCTTTCCCACACTCAATCCCTTTTTAGTAATCTCATATCACAGATACGCCGATTTAGATCAGATCGCGTGCTTAATTGGGCGTAAATGACATTTACTGCTCGCACGAGAACGGTCTGAAGTCACCAATATTGTTTACTAAAGCTGTGCATGTATTCCCACAACAAAACCTATAACAGTAAGCTTTCAGAGCCCGTCTTAACTATCTAGAATAGCACGTCCTTTTTATCATCTTGAATAAGAATATTTTATTGAAAACTTGTTTTAAAAAACAATGATGAGTGTTTAAATGCATGAATGAACTTAAGTCAGATCTTAGTGGGTCTTTATGGAGCTTCAAGGATAGTCGCATGCATTTAAGTAATAAATAACGTAACATCTGTTCTCAACATTAGTGATTGAATGATAATAAATAAGAAGTTCTTTTTTATGCCAGTTAGTTTTCATGTTGGCTTCGTTGTTGTTTACATTGTTCCATTTTTGGGAACGTCACATTAGTTACTTGGATTGAACACGATTCCTCATAGCGTGTGTCGTCGATGTAGCAGAAGACGCTTACCTTTCAGAAACATCTAGTCTTATTCTCCTAGTACTTTTTCAGATGTCTTTCTAAATCTTTCTTTTTTCATACTTTACACAATATATTTGATCAAACTTGAAAACGAATGTGTTCCTTTGGTTTGGAAATTGGTGTAAAACGTGCAAAATAATTTTTTCTTGTACAAATTTTTTTCAGAAGAAGTATTCAAGACTGGTAAAAAGTTTGGTTAACCAATCAGGCGAGCTAGCAATAAAGTTATGTTTATATAGATTCTTCCGAAGTTAAGCTCTCCATTAAAAACGAGGGAGGTCCGTATCATTATCATTAATAGTAAACTGAATTATTATAATATAGAAGTATGTATAAAGACAAAGGTCAAGTTGAAGGAAGCCTTAAATGCAAATTTGATGTCATCTCTGTCATATATATATATCTTCAAGTGTGGAATTAACATCATGATCACGGGATATAAATTGTTTACTTTATATTTCAATCTACTTTTTCTTTTAAGCATGATAGACGGAATGGATTTAATCAACCATGAAAGTGAATTCAATATAATATTCTCTTTTTTCGCACACTATCATAGTTTTCAACAAAATCTTTGCATTTGTTGTTTCAGTTCAATGATAGGGGTTGCACAATACTTTGGGGTTTTCATTTAAAAAAACAACTCTCGTCTCTTAAAGCTTTCGTTTATATCACCAGTTACTATGTCTTCTGGTTGTGTACACCAGCTAGGTTAGGGTCACAGACATCTACGCGTTGGTTTAACCTAGGGCGGTATCAAACATTCACAGATGTATGTTGTTAGTGTCATTTCTGCTACATTCTCGACACAAAGTGAATTAGAGTTACACGGTTGTCGCTTTTAACAACACATTGTATTTTAACCGTGTGTAATATATCTTTTTACGTGCGTATTTCCCAAAAGAAATATCAGTGGAAAAAAACAGAAAGTTCAAATATTTCTTTTATATTTTGATACGTAAAAGAATGTCATGTCCAGTAGATGCGTAAGAGAAATTGGATGTATTAAAATAATCCCAGTTGATTTTAAAGGTTTTAGCAGATCCTTTGTCAAATAGTTATAAATTAATTACATACACGATTTTTAAGCCAGCAAGCACCTTGTCTGTAATCCGTTTTGACGTCAAATATTTTTTAATATGTTACAAAAGTAGAGAGGAAAATTAAATAGCTTTAAGGCGAAGGCGTGGCTAAGTGTTTTATTTAGTGGATCAGAGTAACACCTCCTCATTCTACATACAAACTACTCAGATTAATAATTTATAAATGTAATCAATTTGTATTTGGGTTTCAATGTTATTTTCAATTGAAAATACAAGTCTGATTATTTGAGTTTAAATGTAGTGCTAAATAATCATAATTAAATTAATTTGGTTTCAATTTTCTGAATTATTGGAGATGTTGGTAACTGTAATGTTTGGAATGTCGGTATATACTCAACACTGTCTCGTTGTACTGAGTATTATATAGGTTAAGTTACACTACATTATCGGGAAATCTTAAAGCCGTGGTTTTCTTTCTGTGTTTCATTTGTTACTTTGTTTCAAAAGTTTGCAGGTTTATCGTGTGAAAAAAAAATCTGTTTTACTCAATAGTTCATTCTCGCCGTCAACATTTCAATATTTTTGTTACCCGAAAAGGAACAACACATTCATATGCAACAAAACTAACAGTGATCAGTCGATTCTGGTACACGAACATGTGCATCTGAATTACAATGTAACATTTTGTGAATTTTACACTTAATATAAATCAGTGTTTAGAGAAAGGCGAGGTTCCTCTTGGTTCTTTCACAATATTCACTTTTTTCCTCTCAATATCTACACAGAATACCGTTCCACATGATTTTTGATGCATTTATACATATATATATGATCAATGAAGTAATAACGACAGTACGGACAAGCGAATTGTCAAATTTCCCTGTCCCTTTATCAAGACACAAATATTACATAGATAACATCGTATACATAGAACATAAAACAAATACAAAGTTATAAATCGAGAGCGGTGGTGTAAATTTAGGTGTCTCGATAATCCCTTCAGCCGATGGACGCCGAAGGCCCTTTATAACGGACAAAAAACCATCCCAACTTGTTATATGTAAGATGGTGATTAAGATATCAAAAATGTGTTATATAAATAGTAGAATAATGGTAAATTTTCAGCATCCAATTACTATATATATAATCTAGTAAGTAATATCGACGTTATGGTCTTATGTCGGATTATATATATATTCATTGAGTATATATAGATTCTGTAAGAAGCCCGCATAAGCAGTTTTAAAGTAAGGGATATTATGAATTGCCAAACCGTTACAAAATGCACCTAGAACACCGTATTTACCATGGGGATTCATAAGGAGCTTTATTTATATATGTTAATATGGTAAATCTATAAAGACTTCGAAAGTCAATCAAAATTCTTTATTTTCATATTCTCACTAGCGATATCCCCCTGCACAGGTCTACAATACTTTATCAAACTAAGTATTGTTTTCTATCAAATCTCTGGAATTCTCACTAGTGATATTCTCCAGCCTATATTTACAAAATGCTTATTCATTCTAATAAATGTTATTTCATATCAAGCCCCTGGTCTTCTAAACGGCAATATTCCCCAGTCCGTTCTTAAAAAACCTTATTTGTCCTAGTAAGTCTGACTTTTATCAAGCCTCTTGTATTTTCACTTGCCTGGTCTATAAAATCTTTATTAATCCTAGTTAGTCTGATTCTATCAAGCACCTGGTATTCTAAACAGTATTACTTTCGAACCAAGAACTACAATTCCTGTTTACAAGGGGTGAACAGATACTCTTCAGTGTCAACTCATGAGCTCTTAGTTTTAAAATTGCACAGCACGATATCCGGTACAAGCAGTGTCTAAGTCTGCCAAACGTTTGCAGGGGCGAGTTATTTACACAATGAATCGAACTGATATATTTTAGCGTAGATTTAAGCAAACAGAAGAATTCAATCCCTTTTGAACTTTTCTATATTAAAATTGTTATTAACTGGAGTGTTATACACCCCAAGTCCTTTATCTATTCAGCTCTATAGAAAGATTTCGATTGATAGCTCGGCATTTATAGAAAAAGCACTTTAATTATGTATCAAACATGACTTATGTTTTCAACTGAATAAAGACAGCACCATTGACTTTGATATAAGATTGGATACAATATTCTGAAGTGTTGGATTGTTGGATTTTAACTGTACCGAGTAAACACTTGTTTATACATGTATAAACACTCGTCCACGGTGAGCCATAACCCTTATCGCGATTTCCAAAGTATACTAGATTTTTTTCCTTTTAACAATAAATATCACATTGTGATCTTTATCTAGACTTTATTGGTTAGAACACATATCCCCTATATCATACACAGTGAGATTTATTTACGTTAGTGAGATATGTTCACCTAGATCGGAAGTATCAGAGGATTTAACACGTCAGTAGAATTTCAGAATCCTTTATTTTTGGGGATAAAAACACCAACACGTGGATTTAAATTAATTACATATTCTGAGACCTTCAAAAGAAATTCCCATTGGAGACGAATTCTTTTTTTCTCTCTTTTTTACCTGAACAATTCTTTTATGCAAAAGAAAATAGATAGGATTAAGTCATCTTTCTATTCCGTTTGAACGCTATAATGATAAAAGTGATCGCTCATAAATACGTCAATAATTTGGCGTGTATCGGTGGAAGGATGTCGATATGTCCCTTTTATTTATTGGTTATAACGAGGCAGTCTTTACTGCAATGACCAGTTCAGTTATTTCAATTTCCTGCTCACTGAAAGGGAAGTTAAAGGGATTGTCATAAGAACACACAGACACACACACACACACACACACACACACACACACACACAGAATTATTACCTTATATTGAACTTATTTATAACACCTTTCTGCATTTCAGAGTCGGGTTTGTGGTCGGATGTCCACTGAAAGGCCTGATTCTAAACAGGCCGGCACACCAAGAGGCCTAGACCTGCGAAGGGCGAGCAAGAACCGAAAGCGGGCATCTGTGGATGATGACACGGAAACGGTTCTGGACCTGAAAGGTAATTAGTTGTGATGTCAGGCGAGGAATTTAGGTTGTTAAGGAAACCTGAGCCTGAAACGTGTGATTTATATACACATAAACTCTATATATATATCATCAATATTGGATCATCATCAAACCATTTCTTAACACCGTTTCACGAAAATAGTTGCTTTCTGATCTGATAATACAAGGGGTTTTCACTTTTTCTCTTGCAGTTTAACGTAAATACACTCGAACAAAGTTTTCTGTCTTAAGCTATAACTAATGCTTTCAGCCAACGACTTTCTTTTTCAACATAACGGACAGGAATTTGATAAACTTATCAAACATATTTAAAACATACTAAGAATTATCTGAGATATTTCGGTCCAATTACAGTGCCTTCAGTGCCGTATGATGACACGGGAAAGAGGACGTACGAGAGGGCGTGCAAGAAGTATGGCGTCATCCCATCTTCCTTGTTCCTTCGGAAGCTTTCGGAGAAGGACATTGACCTCACGAATTATGGTTTGGGACCTAAAGGAGTTATGGCTGTGTCGGTGGCGCTCGTGGTGAGTATCCTACATTGACACATCAACCCGGTAGATACATAAAGTCCATCCATAGAACTTTCGATCGAACACACTTTATTGTGTGGTATTAAAATGGGCGTGGAATGGTCCTTTGTGGCAGAATTTAAAACATAAATCGGTGTCTTTAGTAATTCTTTACTCATCATTAATTGATCAGCTTTATTTAATAATTGTTTCTGTAAAAGTCAGCGGGACATCCATTTAGAAAGCTTTAGGCTTCGTTTGAAATCCCCTGAAACGTGATGGATCATAAATCATGATTGTTTTCCAACGTTTAACAGGTAGAAAGCAGGAAGGAATTAACATGTTCTAGGGATGGGCCATCTTTGTCTTTGGATTATATACAGAATATCCTGAATGCGGGGAAACATTTCAGTATTTTTAAACGGATGGACCTTACATCAGAAAAAATGTTCTTTTATATACTAGAAAAACCTCCTTCTTCCAGGTGAATTCCAGTGTGACGTCATTGATACTCAGGGGAAATTGTATTGACAGCGCGGGTGTGTTATGTATACAACAAATGATGACGGAGAATATGTCAATTACCGATCTGGTATGTAAATATATTTCATAATATACAAATTGAAAATTGTCATATATAACCTATAACATACATTGTACACCGTTAAAATTGTCATATATCAATTACCGATCTGGTAAGTAATTATATTTCATAATATACAAATTGAAAATTGTCATATATATTCTTTAACATACATTGTACACCGTTAAAATTGTCATATATCAATTACCGATCTGGTATGTACATATATATAATATACAATGTACATTGTATGCCGTCATGTTTGTAACTAGTAAATACACTTTCTAACAATCAGAGATCTTCAATCTGCTCTATACAAAAGAAAATACTGTTATGTCAACAAAATTCTGCTTCAAATTCCATATTGGGAGGGCAAAATATTTCAACTCAAAATCAGTTTAAATCAGGGGCGAGATATTTAAGCTCAAAGCGGTTTAACAAGATAACACAAATCAAAATATCTAACAAGGGCAAGATTTTAGCAAAGGGACGATTTACAAGGGTACCATTGAAAGATTAAATTTTCATGGCAACAGTACCGTGTATAATTACACATTTGTAAAAGACAGAAAGCAAACCGATTTTGTTATTGAGCAACATCTGTTATGTTGATTAATTTCCAGGATTTATCTGAAAACAATCTTGGAACATATGGAGCCAAAGTGATGGGTTTGATGTTACGAGAGAACAAAGTCATTCGGTATCTGAACCTGTCAGGTAGGTCTGTTAGGTGCACTGTAAACGTGTGCTCCCATATTGCAATATCATTCTGGGTCATTGAATATCTATTTTGTTTTGTCAAAAAGTCAATCATTATGTAATCATACGACGAAAACCAGCCGTTTAATCAACAGTATTCATCAAGGTTTTTTGTAGGTTATTATAGTAGGTTTGTCCTATTTGCAGGTAACCAATTCACAGACCCAGACGCTATATACCTCACAAAGGCTATCCAGGTGAGGACACTATTGTTATTTGCTGATAATATGGATAAAATATATCTGAAACATATAGATATATACACACACATATATATATGTCGTATTTAAATGATGATTTTTTGCTTTTTGAAGGATTATTCCACTCCAGAACTTGTCGGCCTTAGGAAGGAATAATACTGATTTTTTTATTTTATTTTTAGGATCATTCTAGTCTAGAACATGTTGATCTCAGTCACAACGAATTTGGAGATTTATCAGGGCCCGACTTCGAAAAGATGATATGTAAGTATAAGATTCTATAAGTATGTGTATAAGACAGGAGATCCTACACAGACTAAACAATACATGTGTATTAATTGATGTGTGAAATTATTTGGTTACACCATCTGATGGAATGAAATCATGCGTATCGGTGAACGGAAATGTTTTTTATCTTTGTGTATTTTTCCTTTCAAGTTTAAAACGTGATATTTGTCATTAGTCTTTGTTTTGCTTTATCTCATATATCAACTGGTACTTTCGGAACCGCAGGACTAAGCTGACTCTGTAAGGATAAAATACACTTTATTTGTTACGTGTTTATTCTTATTTCCAACCTTGTCTTATTTTTTGTGGATAATTTAACTGCCATATTTCAGCATTTCAACGTAAGCGTAAGTGATACAATAACTATCGAAAAATCAAACTCATTCCAATTAATGATGCTTTACGATGACGTCATTCTCATCATTATTACGTCATAAATAAACCGATTTAATCAGTTAATGAATTGAATGCCAATCTGATTGGTTAAGAACCATTGACAAGTTCACAAAGACATATTTCTGATAAACAGGACATCGATGTTCATTGTGACATCTGATCCACGATGCAGAATGTTATCACCAAATCATCCCTTGTAGAATCAGGATGTTGATCGTGCCTTTTTGATCCTACATCAGATTCGTCAGGTTTAGATTCCCACACAAATCTACATCAGGCGAAATTTCAAGCTTTAATTAACTACTATCCGAAGGGTCAGAACTTGAACAATGTTACTTCACTGGTCAATTTGTCTGTCTTTCGTCAGAAGGATATGGTTCGTAATAAGAATTGTAAAACTAATCTGACGATCAGTCCAAACATTTTTATCAAGAGTCGTCCATCCTTGAGACGCCAAGAGTAACAATCACTTTCGCTCTCGGCACCCCTGGAACATGTCATGGCAAAATAGAAGGTTCTATGTGTGACATCTTCTGACAAGACGAAAAATCTAAATTGATTCTTTGATGTGCATTAAACGAATCTCGAGGTCACATAACAGTATACTGTATAGGCTTTGAAGTTGGAAGTCGATTCTTTGTAATCTTAAAAAGAAGCGTATAAGCCTGTGATGGGTCAGTTTTTTTTCTCCTTTATTCGTTTGTGCCTTCGTAATAGTAACATTTTTTAGTATCGAGGATGAGAATCATCCAGTTGCATTCCTCTATTAGTTCATCTCCCCGTTGTTTAAAACCGGGAATCAAATATCCCTAAACTCGACAGTAAGACGCGGCTTATCTTCTTTAACAGCAGGCATGTTTATATACGTAAGAAACTACAGGTTTATTTTTGAGACAGGTTTGCTCTGGGGTTTTCAGGGTATTCTAAAAAAAATTATATGTTCAGTCGTATTTCTTTAAGTTTCTACACACAGGAGTAAGTCTACTGTAAGGTACAACACTACGATGCCATAATACTAGATCCTAAAAGCCTTGGTTCTTCACAAATTAACCTGCTTTTGTTTAACCTAAGCTAGCCAGAGGAGACATTTGTTTTAATAGAACCAATATGGCAATGATAAACCTATTTACCATGGAATGACTCGGTATAGTAACTTTTAATGTATCTTAACTGTGTAAAGTGCATTCAAGAGATTAATACTTCGTGTTCTTGTGATAGCTGCATCAACATCTCGTAGGAATAGAATAATCAGTTTTATATCTTCTCTCTACTGCCATAACGTAATTCATTATTCATCCATTCTTAATACGAACTTGGAGTACTAATTTTATGTAACTCGAACCTGCATATATTGATTTTTGCGTACAAGAGAATAAAAATAAAATCTTCTGGTGTTAAGATGCAAATTATTATTAAAGAAAAGCAGTTTTAAAATTGATTGACTAGTGTTCATTATGAAAATCATAAAAATACTGACTTTCATCAGACCAGAAAGGTGATATGAAATGTAACACAATAAAACTAATACCTTACATTGTAACATTTTTTTAAACAGCCGACGCTAATCGCGCGTTACTGGCATTAGACCTTAGCTGGAACCAATTCAGACTGATTGGAGCAAAACACCTCGCCATCGGCCTCAAGGTCAGTATATTGGCGCAAAACACCTGGCCATCGGCCTCAAGGTCAGTATATGTGGAGCAAAACACCTCGCCATCCGCCTCAAGGTCAGTATATGTGGAGCAAAACACCTCGCCATCGGCCTCAAGGTCAGTATATTGGAGCAAAACAGCTCGCCATCGGCCTCAAGGTCAGTAGATGTGGGGCAAATCACCTCGCCATCGGCCTCAAGGTCAGTATATTGTAGGGTAAAACAGCTCGCCATCGGTCTCAAGGTCAGTATATTGTAGGGTAAAACAGCTCGCCATCGGTCTCAAGGTCAGTATATTGTAGGGTAAAACACCTCGCCATCGGTCTCAAGGTCAGTATATGTGGAGCAAATCACCTCTCCATCGGTCTCAAGGTCAGTATATTGGAGCAAAATGTCAAATAGATGAAACAAAATATTATTTTTTATGAAATTTATTTATTTTCGCAATCTTATTCCTTTATCGAAAACGGTGAAAAATAACATAAAAAAGACACCCTTTAAAAAAACCATATTTCAAAGTATATAAACAACGCTTAGATAGTGACAGTCACCATTCAGTAGGATGGACTGCAATAACAGAACTGGAGACATGACCGTGGGGAATGTTATCCGTTCTGTTTAAGTATCAAAAGTGGCTAATATGGATCGAATTATTTTGTCATTGTTTGATGTTTACAGGAGAATGCATATCTAAAATACATGAACGTGTCTTGGAATGGTCTGGATGACGACGGCGGGAAGGATTTCGGAGAGGCTATCAGTAACAACAATATCATAGAAGTCCTGGACATTTCATGTTGCAGAATAGGTCCCGAGGGATTCGCCGGCATTCTGAAAGGCCTTAAGAACAATGAAACACTTCAGGAATTACGAGTAAGATTCTACCACTAGGAAATCAGTACAAGTGCTTAACATTTGGGTTTTTTTTTAAGTTAAAGCTTAAATGTGCTGCACGTTGAATACCATATACTGTCAATATTCTTACATTTTAATCATATCAATACACAGAACAGATTTTGACAGATTTTTTATATAGTTAAATGAAATTTTCCTGTTGAAAAAGTATCAAATACAAGTCAAATATACTTCACGTTGTACAAGCGTAACGCTAATTAAAGGTTAATCCTAATTGTTAGAACATTTTCATCTAATGTTCATTATTTCAACCTGAAGTACTGAAATATTTACTGTCACGGTGAAAATTGCTTCATAAGAATTTAACTGATGTGGGACATATTTTGTGTCTTGTAATCGATAAATAAATAACGCAAATATTTATTTTTTTTAGATTTAAAAATATCAATCAAATCTGATTTCAGATAGGTAAAAATAATATACCAGAGGAAGCAGCCGAGGCCGCGATCGAGATGTTTGACCAAATGGAGTCTGTCACACTCATTGTTCTGGACATGACGGTAAGCTTATTGTTGATATTGATGGTCTCGAAAATGAGGAGCAAACGCATACATAATGTTCATTCGTCTAGGTAAGAGTAAATCGGACAAAGAAAGATTAATGTCAGAGGTGCAGCTACTGGGTTGATTTTAAAACACAGTCTCGATGACTTGTTATAAATGTGAAATAATATTCTGCTTTTTTCCACGAGATTTAGAATCAAGGTAAATAGCTAATGAATCGTTTGGTGTTCGCAGGATGTAATCTTAGGGCCACGGTTTCAAGAAAGGGTGGATGAACTGAAGGAAAAACATGAGAATTTAGAGATAAAATTTGGATATAGTGACATGTACGGGAAGCGTAAGATGGCTGGCTCTGTAGACGTTGGTGAAGACGCCTTACTCACCATCAAGGAATATATGGAAAGACACAATCTCACTATCTCTGAACTGTTCGCAAGGTTTGACGACGATGGAAGCAACAGTGTCGATTACGACGAATTTCGTGAAGGGATCAAGGTTAACATTTCAAAACTCGATACCAAAGTTTGATTCAGAATCATCATGTCCGATTTCACGCGCACTTCCATTAACCAAAAACGATAATATGTTAACATTTACGCATTATCAGATTGAACACTTTATAAAACGTTCCTGACGCTGACACAACATACCAATTTTGAACAAGATTCATCAGCAAATTTTTCATAGTAATTAAATGATCTGTTCTAAAACAAAGATAAAACAAATGTATCTGTATTCTTCACAAAACTGCATTTATATGTACAATGTTACAGGAGGCCAAGATCGATCTGACGGACTACCAAGTGGACAAGTTAATTCAGTTTATAGACATAGACGGTGATGGCGACCTTGACTTCAGGTAAACAATATTGTATTGTCTAAGCAATCACATAAATATCCTGTTACACGTGTAATAACACGCAGTACATGTATCTTGTCATTACACACGTGGAATATGACCTCGAGGAACCGTTATTAGACTGACGGGTCCCATTGTTACATAACGTCATAGCGTCATATGTATTGTGACGTAAACAAAGGAAGAGATAAGTGTACATAGTGAGAATATCGAAAAATTAGATTTGGTATTAATCAAATTAATTAATTTTTCTCGTAAACTTATTTCAACAGTAGTTAAGTTCAATAATGAATTTGTTTCTATTTCAATTCATATTCATGAAGCTTGCGATGAATTTATATTTTACCTCGTCAACTATAAAATATGGCTCATTTCATAGACTCCATACTAAAGGAAATGACGCAAGATCCTCTGTTGCAATTCCTAACGCATTAACAAACTAACAACGCTTAATGTAATGATTATTACATTAAACGTTGCGACTGCTACACTTATTATAATCAAAAATATTACATTAAACGTTGCGACTGCTACACTTATTATAATCAAAAATATTACATTAAGCGTTGTTATTACATTAAGTGTTGCTATACCCTCTATGTCTTCAGTGAAGCGAGTTTGAGTCCAAATCGCCCATCATCGGTTTTCAATAAAACCGTGTTTTACTGACAGTATAATTATTAATCATCTTTCATTTTTTCAAACTGCCCATCGCTGGTTTGGTAATTGATGTGAATTGATATTGACAGTGAAGTGGTACTAAAGATGAAAGAGGTGACGAAAAAGCGCCAAGCAGAGGATGAACAACGGAAAGAAGAAGCCAAGAACAAACGGAAGTACTAAAAACTGAATATGTAAACACATCCAGATACTTATTGTTCTGGTAGTAATGTTTTCGTCGTTATAGTGAGAATTTGAATAACTCACAAATATGAAAATATCAGACAACATCAAGGTTCACTATTGTTTGAGGAAATTGTGAATACGTCACGGCGACAAAGGACAGAAACGTTCTGAGATAGGAAGGACTAAATCAAATATAAGTACTTTGCGAAACTGAAAAGCAAGTTTTAAAATACATTTAAGACGTGCATATGTTACTATGCATTTTAGGTCATATGATCGGACTAGTGTTAATCTGGCTGACAAAGGTATATATTAACGAAAATTCCATTGACAACTTCTGTAAATATGTCTGACTGTTATGTGTGGAAGGAGAGAGAAAGTAAAATAAATTATATAATTTTGTGAATTTTTCTGTTTCTATCGTCAGGAAAAAGCGACAGAGATAATAAATATATTTGAACGTGTGATTTTTTCCGAATAACCTGTTTAACGGGCAACCAACTGGCTGTACAAATTATCTTACTCTAAACCAGAGGATATCCAGTCAATATTGGAAAGCAGTTCATCCCGCCACAGGCCAAAACGCACCAACACCACAGGTTCGTTGCTGTCATGGTTGTATATGATGATAAAAAAATTACCCACAGTATAAAACGCGTCATTCCGTCAGTCAAATATTTCTCCAACAGTCCGTTCCTTAATTACCAAATCATCTGACAGTATCGTTCATATATCAGATAGACTGTATGAGATACAGGTAAACAGCACATTTCAATACAAAACCAGTGTAGACAAATGTTTCGTCCTTCTAGGATTTGTCAGTGAGGCTAATGGCCTAGTTTTGAAACCTAGGAGGCGACTGAGATAATCCAAATCGGTCGAAATAAACGTGTGATAAAAGTAGGATGCAGTAGCCCCACAATTCAATACTGGAGGATTTTAAAACAGTAGTGGAATCATGTTCAGTGTATATACATACCTACTCACTTGTCGATAACGTTACTTTTATATTGAATTATGGTGGGTATATTCCATAGACATGTTATCAAACGTCTTGTCGTGTAGAGGCAACACAACATCAAATATTCAAAAATAATTCGTTTTTGTTATCTTAACTGATAAGCTCTTTGATAAAGAGATATAAAAACAAAAAACAAGTTCGCCAAGAGAGGGGCCCCGACTGTCCTTATATTTGTCTAAAGAAAAAAAAAAGACAAATTTTACCACAAAACCTCTGCCTTTTTATTTCTCAACATTAACTGTTTAATAACGTATGTTTGATAGATATCTTACAACACCTTTAGTTATTAACACACAAACAAATCCATACGCTATGCTGGCGGTTAGTGGTTTACAAGATGTCGACAATCATGTACTCTCATGTAATGCTGTGTTTGTTTTCAAATTATTACATTTAACCTGTACAAAATGATCTGAAACATAAGTTATAACAGACTGGGAAATTGAAACGTCATTCTGTATCAAATGCAAGGTTGAAGACAGGCAACACCTACAGTCTGTATGCAAAAACAAAATCAACGCCCAAAACATGTGTAACTTCAATCAGTGATACAGAACAAATGAATATGAAAATCACGGATATTTCTGCTTAAAACATGCCAGAATTCTTACACTAATATCTAGCACGTCTCCTGAAATTTCAAAATAGAAACGAATCAGGATTTGCAAAAATGTAAATATATCTTAGAAAAGACAAGATATTGAAACTGATGAAAAATGAACACTCAAACCTCAGGACCACAAAACAAAATGTTTCGAATCTATTTTGCTTTTCTTGAGAAGTAGTCTTTTAATATTAATAAATATTCTAGAATGAATAGCTTCATGGGTTTTGAGCAGCTCGTGATACCATGAACATCATGATGGCTAAAAAGCTACATAGAACATCAGTTTGGTTTGTTTTTTAAGGACATGGTGGATTATATCTGAAGCAGAATAATGACTTGATAGTGTCATTCAAGATGTTTTCCCATGTTCAGAAAATCAGAAATATTTTTGTATACATATTTATATACAGCTAAGATATTCTCTATATCATTTCAATCTGAACACCAAAAAATCAAGGCATGAAATTAAGAAGCAAATTATATTGAACTAAATTTGAATAAAACATCACTAAAACTGACTTTTAATTTTTTTCTGAAAAGATGACTAAAGAAAGTGAAATTATTCTGAAATCTAATATCTGTTTCCTCTGGGTTTAACAGAGGTATTTCTATTTATTCCTCAATACAAACCTTTCATGATAATTCGTGCGGATCATACACCATATCAGTGAACAAGCCAGTGTTTCCTTTCCATTTGCTTAAATTTTCAGAGGGAAAAAAAACCTACAGACTTTTAAATTTAACACAAGACCATGACCACAACCATACATCTATCTCTGTTTCACACTGGATACCTCCGGTAAGGTTAAACCAATAAACTATTTAGAACAAAATAAACAAAAATAACTAAAGTGTAGAACAGTCTACCACAAATGTCTCCCCTCTAAATCTTACAAAATTGTTATGATTCAAAATGAATGACATGTATAATGAGATCAGAATACATCTTAATGAAGTAAAATTTTGCAAACTTATATTTGCCAAAAAGGACAACAAGCAAATTCCCATTAATATTCCTCCAGTTGTTCCAATCCCTAATCAAACTCCTACAGACTATTAAATGTAGAAGATGGGAGACCACAAACTCCAGTAGATTTCAATCCTTACTGTTGTTTGTATATAACAGGTGAGAGACCACAAACTCCAGTAGATTTCAATCCTTACTGTTGTTTGTATGTAACAGGTGAGAGACCACAAACTCCAGTAGGTTTCAATCCTTACTGTTGTTTGTATGCAACAGGTGGGAGACCACAATCTCTAGTAGACTTAAAAATTTATACAATATCGGACCCTGTGTCCTTCAGGTATGACAATCCATACTGTTTGTATGTTTAATACCTGGCCCTGTGTCCTTCAGGTATGACAATCCATACTGTTTGTATGTACAATACCTGACCCTGTGTCCTTCAGGTATGAAAATCCATACTGTTTGTATGTACAATACCTAGACCTGTGTCCTTCAGGTATGACAATCCATACTGTTTGTATGTTTAATACCTGGCCCTGTGTCCCTCAGGTATGACAATCCATACTGTTTGTATGTACAATACCTAGACCTGTGTCCTTCAGGTATGACAATCCATACTGTTTGTATGTACAATACCTAGACCTGTGTCCTTCAGGTATGACAATCCATACTGTTTGTATGTTTAATACCTCAGGTATGACAATCCATACTGTTTATATGTACAATACCTGGCCCTGTGTCCTTCAGGTATGACAATCCATACTGTTTGTATGTACAATACCTGGCCCTGTGTCCCTCAGGTATGACAATCCATACTGTTTGTATGTACAATACCTGGCCCTGTGTCCTTCAGGTATGACAATCCATACTGTTTGTATGTACAATACCTAGACATGTGTCCTTCAGGTATGACAATCCATACTGTTTGTATGTACAATACCTGATCCAGTGTCCTTCAGGTATGACAATCCATACTGTTTGTATGTACAATACCTAGACCTGTGTCCTTAAGGTATGACAATCCATACTGTTTGTATGTACAATACCTGGCCCTGTGTCCATTAGGTATTGCAAACCCTACTGTTGTTTTATGAAGGAGGACACAATCTTGAGTAGAAATCAGACCTTACTTTTATTTGTATTAAGGAGGCAACAATCTCCAGTAGAAATCAGACCGTATGTTTGATTGTATGAAGCATTAAGAAGGCCACGACCTCCTGTAGCCTTACATATATACCTGATCATATGGCCATTATGACAACTTGCTCATACAGCACTGAAACATTTTGGTGTCACCATCATTTAAATGGTTGGAACTTTTTCAAACAATAATTCTCATCTTTCAGAAACTTATTTTTTTTTACCAATTAGATAAATTTTAAAGTGTTCCGAACAATTAATGATAAGTTGAATGGAGAAGTCACGCCAACACATCAATGTTCTGGTCTAGCCAACATAAAGGATTCAGTACGCACTCAAATGTCTCCTCTTCTTTTTCACTAGCAAAACTGAAAGTACAAGAGAGTTTTGTAATAACCAGTGAGATTCTGTACCAGGCAAAATTATAGATTGGAATAAGAAGATTATAATAAAGAGTACAGGACACAGACACAGACACTACTATTAGAACTTTGTGAAGAGCATCTTCCTTATATACCTTCTCTATAAGATACACCTACCTTTGATACACCTGTGGATATATCAAGTGTTCCATCAGTTTTTTTTAAAGTTATGAGCACCACACTGGATCATCACTTCATTACTTAAAAACATCCAAACTTAACCATTCTAAGGTTGATTTAAATGGCTCTGTCATCTAATTTTGGGCTACATTCACAGCAAAGCATAGTGATTTATGAGTCATTTCAACCAGTCTATATATATATATATATAGAGAGAGAGAGAGAGAGGGCGGGAGAGAGAGAGAGAGAGAGAGAGAGAGAGAGAGAGAGGGAGAGAGAGTGCTGTTGAAGCTAGATACCGATTACTATAAATTAATATTTCTCATTTTCCTATCTTGAACAGTGTACAGATTATTTTATGACACTTTTTAAAAGGAAGAGAACATCATATGATAGGTTCTCACAGGAAAGATTTAAATGTCTTTCAATTTGGTATTTTCAAAGAATTACCATTTGATAAGGAAGTAAAAAATTCTATCACGTATATACCTTCCATCTGTTTCCACACTCATTACAGAACACAAACGTCGTCATAGGTTCATCAGAACTTCTTGTTTGAAGCTGAAGTGCAATAAGAATAAGTAAGATGTTAACAGTGTTACAACAATAACTGGCTTGTACTCCAATGACTACCTTAATACCTGTGTTAATATCCTTCAAAGCCAAGGAGTACAACTCAGGATACACACATGTTCAAACTGTCTGAAGTATCATACACATTTGTAGCATGTCAGACATCAAGATAAACACATCTGTTCCATTGGAACATTTTTGAGAGAGAGAATTTTCTAGGTAGCATATTAAGAATTGGTTGAAAATCCTACAATATTACTCTAAACAAACTTCAGATCAGAATATCAAGAAAGGAGCTTAATCCCACAAAAGCCAGTAATCAAGATGGATGTGCATGAGGGGTCTTACTGTGGGAGGAAACCGGAGTACCAGGGAAAACCCACGTGGTCGGCAGGTGACTCCATTCTTTCCATGAGTGTGTTACCACAGTGCCAACCGACCATCCAAGAAAATTGGTTAAGGGAATAAAGAGTTTGACTACAGATGATTTTTGGAAAAGAGTGATCTGTTTCTGTTAAACAAACCAAAGGTGTAACGAGGACACCATGCCAGTCAGTTACCTGTGTATATGTTGTGTTTTTCTTTCCACACTTTCCACACTTGAACAGGTCAGATTTGGTACCACTGGTCGTAGCCATGTGATGATCATCGATAGATTCTTTAGTGTATTTACGACGTAGTTCCTGCATGTCATCACTAGCCATCTCCTACAAAACAAACAGCTAGGTTACTACAGCCAGTTCTGGGATGTTTGTTAATCAATTATATAACTTGAATACAATCATTTTTTGCATAGACATATAAAAAATAATTATATCTGATAGCAATTTTGGCTCTTTTTTTTTAACTTCTCACTGCAAAAGAGGCTAAAATTCTCTTTAAGAGACTACAAAAAGCTGTAATTACTCCTAAACCAAGTGGACCATTCCATGACAATTCAGACTGAACTAAAATACTTCAGGGAAACATAGTCACATTTTAAAACACCATATGTAACAGCCAAACAAATCTCGTCCATTTTTATTCTGAATTTCTTTAGGAAGATACACAAACATCACATCTTGTTGAAAATTTTAAACTTGAACATTTCCAGAATTGTATGCACAGGAGCACAAAACTTATTGAGCATGTGTACACAATGGTGTTGTTTACTACAATGTTCAGCATGTGTACACAATGGTGTTGTTTACTACAATGTTGAGACAGAGTAATGTAACATATGCTATTATGCCAAAAGTGACGAGATGAATGTGTAAACAACATCATCACTATATTAGAATCACTACACAACCTCAATGATTAACATTCACACTACATTCAGTTTACCTCTGCCGTCATCTTTGCGATCTTTTCTGGGGTTATCAGCCCCAACAGGACATTCTCCCTCAGCTGTGGATTTTTTAAATCTCTCAAATTGGCAACTCTACTTCTCACTCTGTTTTTGTATTTGACACTTGTGTTGTCAAATTCATTAAAAATGTCTAACATCTGTTAAGGTAAACAATGAATGGTTAATCATGGTTGTAACGGAATAGATTTTACTGTAGTTGTGTCATGGCTGTAACAGAATAGATTTTACTGTAGGTGTGTCATGGCTGTAACAGAATAGATTTTACCGTAGGTGTGTCATTGCTGTAACAGAATAGATTTTACTGTAGGTGTATCATGTCTCTAACAGAATAGATTTTACTGTAGGTATATCATGGCTGTAACAGAATAGATTTTACTGTAGGTATATCATGGCTGTAACAGAACAGATTTTACTGTAGGTGTGTCATGGCTGTAACTGAATAGATTTTACTGTAGGTGTGTCATGGCCATAACGGAATAGATTTTACTGTAGATGTGTCATGGCTGTAACAGAATAGATTTTACTGTAGGTGTATCATGGCTGTAACAGAATAGATTTTACTGTAGGTGTATCATGGCTGTAACGGAATAGATTTTACTTTAGGTGTGTCATGGCTGTAACAGAATAGATTTTACTGTAGGTGTGTCATGGCTGTAACAGAATAGATTTTACTGTAGGTGTGTCATGGCTGTAACAGAATAGATTTTACTGTAGGTGTGTCATGGCTGTAACAGAATAGATTTTACTGTAGGTGTGTCATGGCTGTAACAGAATAGATTTTACTGTACATATTTCATGGCTGTAACAGAATAGATTTTACTGTAGGTATATCATGTCTCTAACAGAATAGATTTTACTGTAGGTGTGTCATGGCTGTAACGGAATAGATTTTACTGTAGGTGTGTCATGGCTGTAACAGAATAGATTTTATTGTACATATTTCATGGCTGTAACAGAACAGATTTTACTGTAGGTGTGTCATGGCTGTAACGGAATAGGTTTTACTGTAGGTATATCATGGCTGTAACAGAATAGATTTTACTGTAGGTGTGTCATGGCTGTAACAGAATAGGTTTTACTGTAGGTGTATGTCTCTAACAGAATAGATTTTACTGTAGGTGTATCATGGCTGTAACAGAATAGATTTTACTGTAGGTGTGTCATGGCTGTAACAGGATAGATTTTACTGTAGGTGTGTCATGGCTGTAACAGAATAGATTTTACTGTAGGTATATCATGGCTGTAACAGAATATGTTTTACTGTAGCTGTATCATGGCTGTAACAGAATAGATTTTACTGTAGGTGTGTCATGGCTGTAACAGAATAGATCTTACTGTAGGTGTATCATGGCTGTCACGGAATAGATCTTACTGTAGGTGTATCATGGCTGTAACAGAATAGATCTTACTGTAACAGATTTTACTGTAGGTGTGTCATGGCTGTAACGGAATAGGTTTTACTGTAGGTATATCATGGCTGTAACAGAATAGATTTTACTGTAGGTGTATCATGGCTGTAACAGAATAGATTTTACTGTAGGTGTATCATGGCTGTAACAGAATAGATTTTACTGTAGGTGTATCATGGCTGTAACAGAATAGATTTTACTGTAGGTGTGTCATGGTTGTAACAGAATAGATTTTACTGTACATATTTCATGGCTGTAACAGAATAGATTTTACTGTAGGTGTGTCATGGCTGTAACAGAATAGATTTTACTGTAGGTGTGTCACGGCTCTAACAGAATAGGTTTTACTGTAGGTGTGTCATGGCTGTAACAGGATAGATTTTACTGTAGGTGTGTCATGGCTGTAACAGAATAGATTTTACTGTAGGTGTGTCATGGCTGTAACGGAATAGATTTTACTGTAGGTGTATCATGGCCGTAACAGAATAGATTTTACTGTAGGTGTGTCATGGCTGTAACAGAATAGGTTTTACTGTAGGTGTGTCATGGCTGTAACAGAATAGATTTTACTGTAGGTGTATCATGGCTGTAACAGAATAGATTTTACTGTAGGTGTGTCATGGCTGTAACAGAATAGATTTTACTGTAGGTGTGTCATGGCTGTAACAGAATAGATTTTACTGTAGGTATATCATGGCTGTAACAGAATAGATTTTACTGTAGGTGTGTCATGGCTGTAACAGAATAGATTTTACTGTAGGTGTGTCATGGCTGTAACAGAATAGATTTTACTGTAGGTGTATCATGGCTCTAACAGAATAGATTTTACTGTAGGTGTATCATGGCCGTAACAGAATAGATTTTACTGTAGGTGTATCATGGCTGTAACGGAATAGATTTTACTGTAGGTGTGTCATGGCTGTAACAGAATAGATTTTACTGTAGGTATATCATGGCTGTAACAGAATAGATTTTACTGTAGGTGTATCATGGCTGTAACGGAATAGATTTTACTGTAGGTGTGTCATGGCTCTAACGGAATAGATTTTACTGTAGGTGTGTCATGGCTGTAACAGAATAGATTTTACTGTAGGTGTATCATGTCTCTAACAGAATAGATTTTACTATAGGTATATCACGGCTCTAACGGAATAGATTTAACTGTAGGTGTATCACGGCTCTAACGGAATAGATTTTATTGTAGGTGTATCATGGCCTTAACGGAATAGATTTTACTGTAGGTTTGTCATGGCTGTAACAGAATAGATTTTACTGTAGGTGTGTCATGGCTCTAACGGAATAGATTTTACTGTAGGTGTGTCATGGCCGTAACAGAATAGATTTCATTGTAGGTGTATCATGGCTGTAACAGAATAGATTTTACTGTAGGTGTATCATGGCCGTAACAGAATAGATTTTACTGTAGGTGTATCATGGCTCTAACGGAATAGATTTTACTGTAGGTGTATCATGGCCTTAATGGAATAGATTTTACTGTAGGTGTGTCATGGCTGTAACGGAATAGGTTTTACTGTAGGTGTGTCATGGCTGTAACGGAATAGATTTTACTGTAGGTGTGTCATGGCTGTAACAGAATAGATTTTACTGTAGGTGTATGTCTCTAACAGAATAGATTTTACTGTGAGTATATGTCACTGACAGGATAGGTTTTACTGTACACATTTCATGGCTGTAACGCAACAAAGACGTGAATTGACTGTTTTAACAATTTGACCCTGTGACCTTGACTAAAGTTTACGGCTTTCAATTGATCTATTTACTGTAAGTGTATCTTAACATATAACTAATATTTTGTGGTGAGATCCAGATAAAATACTAAAACCTGTCTCCATGTATTATCTATATGGGCTGAACTATCTGTTAATTGGCCATATCATACCATAAAACTTACCCCGACCTCTATGTGGAATATACATATCCCATATGAAATACCCCTGTGGGATAACTCTATAAGGTAGCTCAACACAACACTGCATTTGTATTTATTGAGCCCATAATAAATCTGGTAAGAATTCAGTTATATTGGTTGAAGTTAGTGAAAGATAAAAAAAACAACTGCTAAAATTTAAACAGGTGAGTTTGGTAGGTACAAGTTCTTCTTAAACAGGGGAGCACAAAGAACATTGAACCGTGTACAAGAGAAAGGATACGTTCTTCAATATGACCTGCGATGTTTTCCGGATCTCCCATTCCATCCAAGCCCTCTGGAAATAGAACACAAAATTGAACTAAACACCATTATAAAAAATGATATTTGGAAATAAAATACAAGACATTTATATTTCATATTTTCGATCATTCTATTGTATTCTTCCTTGTTTAACACTCATTTCAGAAACAGATTTTTCAAAAGGCGACATGAATGGATTTTGTTTCCAAATTTCACGTAATATTATATAATTAACGAGCTGAAGATGGAGGATGTATGATAGATGTGCATAATGAAAGAGACATTTGTTGGAACTACATTTAAGGTTAACAAGAGGCCTAATAGGCCTGCATCACTCAACACAAACACAGTTACATTGGATATGTCAATCAAAATCTAGGTTAATGAGAAGTGGATTGAAGGTTTTAACAATTTGACCTCTGTGACCTAGCATAAAGTTTAAAGTAATTTCTGGTTTCACCAAAGGAACCTACCAGCCAAATATCCTTCTGGTTAATCAGAAGATGTCATTTGAAGGATTTAACAAATTTCACCATTGTGACTTTCAACAAACTGTCCAACTTTATTCCAAACAACCTCCCACCCAGATATCAAAATTGTAGCCCTCTTAGCTCATCTAAAGTAGGCATTTCAAGGTTTCAACAAATTTCATCTGTGACCTTAGATATACATCAAGGTCATTTTTTTAAGTACCTTTGTTGGGCTCCATCTAAGGAGTCTATCACCAAAACATCATGATTCTACTAGGCCTTTAAGTTATTGAGAAGAACTCTTTTAAACCTCCACTACAGGTTGTGAAGGAACATCATGGTGTTTTTGCTAGCCCTGATTGAACTGGTAGTAGGGGGCAGTTATCTTTTCTTTAACTAACAAAATCCCACATATCCTCTGTTACAGGTCACTCTGGGACATACACATGTATATTGATAACTAACAAATCTGTAACAATATTAAAACATTTTAGTGAAAATTTCACAAAATAAAATATCGACAGCCGTATAATGTTATTCAGAGTTAAACGAATAGGTAACAGGGATATTTTGTTTGCACTTTTTTAAAAGGCTATAAGTATCAGTTAAAATCATTTTTTTTAAAACAATAGCCACGGAACACAGAAGTGTCAGCATCCATTTGCTGGTCAGGTAACACCACCAGAGGGCTACACTAAAGCATGGCGAAGTACATCAATGTCACAATACCAAATGACAAATCATTATCTGTTTCTTCCGAAAACATGGGACTTTTAAAGGAAAAATTGGTGCCAGCTGGGCAGCCTACAGATGGACAAGAGATGTCACACCATGGCATACCATCAGTACAAAGTTGAGTAGATCAGCTTTCCTTGTCAGATTTTTATAAAATTTGCAGATTCCTGAAAGAAATGAATACTAAAAAAAAAAAAAATAATAATATGGAAATTAAATTGTTGTTTCTCTATAAACCTTTTGTTGTCATATTCAGTTAAAGAACATTCATTTTCGGCATGTCAGGGGCAAAAAATTGAGAGAGATGTATATTAAGCCATTAATATATACCTTTGAATATTTTTTTCAAAACAAGAAAACTCCATGCATAAAAAGTAAAAAAAAAAAAAACAAAACAAGTATAATAAAGGAGTATATCATGTATTGAAACTGAAAACTATTATCACCAATTAATTGTCAATAGAAAAACCTTAAACCATTAAATTTGTTATTCTTTTTTCCATATCTGCAAAAACTCTCCCTGTTGTTACCAGCCAATAAAACAGGTTTCTAGTTACAAAATATTCCTAACGTATACTCCTGTTATATCAAATATCAATGTCATGATTTGAAGACATAAGGAAGCCGTTAAATAACTGCTTTCAACTTTCAATTTTAAACAAATGAACACACAAGCGGAGATGTCATGCAAACCTCGACGCCCCAAGTCCTGGTGTCTAACATCAATGTCTGTATATACCTTGTATTGATATAGACACAATATCATTCTTGGTATGTATGGTATTTTCTGATTTGCACAGTATATAACTCATAGGGACTACCTAAATATCTGTGGGGGAAAAGGTGTGCCTGTCAAACTCACAGCAGCAAGGGTATCAACACATAGGAAGGGTAAGCTTTTCTCATACCCTATCCTGCCTGTAACAGAGTTATTTCTAGCTGGAAATATTCCTCATAAGGTAACAATGTTAATAATTACTTTATATTTTAAATGATTTGCAGTCACTATTGAGGTTAGAAAGAATGTTTCTACAATTCTGATGAAGTGATGTAAACTATTATGAGGTGCGAAATGTGACTTAATAATATCATTGTAAAATAATTAAAACTTTTAATATGTATCATATTTAAAAGACACCGATTAAAATGTTTAGGGTACGAGAAAGAGAATCACTTACTCCAAACTGTGGTACATTTATATCATAAATCTCACAAAAGGACACCAAATAACATTGCATATTACGACATGGTTCCATTTTACCTCGATATGAATTTTTAAAATTTTGATTTGGTTCCATCTATTCTCAATATATCTGAATATACAACAATGTGGAGTAGCTGATTCTGTTTGAGATGCTAGCCACAAGAGTGATGTTTCACCCTGATTATCCATAGTCCACTCTTAAAGACACACATCTTACATTTACACACCAGGTATATGGTACAGGCAGTGAGATTCTTTCAATACTTTATCTTGATTGAATTAGTGGCTTTAAGATGTTAGACCAGAGGTGACAGAACACTCTGTAGATGTGTTGGTTAAACACAACTGAGATCATATACCATCATGAAGCCTGATATGTAAGTCTTCAGGTTTGCCTTCAAATTAACATTCATTAAATATTGAAGGGGAAAAAAAATCAAAACTCATTTTTTTTAACAGTATAACAAAGATCCCATTAAATACAACAATAATTAATTCTGTGTTTTATGTGTGTCTTTAAGTCTGAAATTTCACACCAGTTACCACCTGGCTAGAGAAATATACCTGGATGCAAGTCATCTGAAAGAAAAGAAACAAACAGACTCCTCAAGGTATCAAAAAGGAAGTATTCTCAGTGAGACGTGTTACATCTACAGGAAGGCTGTGTTAACCTTCTAATACATATACATAATGTATCTGATTCAGTGAGACGTTTTCCATCTACAGGTAGGCTGTGTTAACCTTCTAATATGTATACATAGTGTATCTGATTCAGTGAGACGTTTTACATCTACAGGTAGGCTGTGTTAACCTTCTAATATGTATACATAATGTATCTGATTCAGTGAGACGTTTTACATCTACAGGTAGGCTGTTTTAACCTTCTAATATGTATACATAGTGTATCTGATTCAGTGAGACGTTTTACATCTACAGGTAGGCTGTGTTAACCTTCTTATATGTATACATAGTGTATCTGATGACTGACTTCAGGTATGTCAGAATTTATCTTGTTAAAAGTCAATCTTAAAATACAAATAGGCAGAATTTTTAGCAGTGATGGGATGATGATAAGAAAAAATCAATCATCTAATTGTTTAACCTCATCTGATGCATTGATTGGTTGTAATTTTTCATAATCGCTCATCAGTACTTTTGTATTTTTTTGTTTAAACAAAAACGAAATTCATATTGTGCATAACAGAGAGGCTAATTGCCAGTGACAATCCTTCTTATGCTGATTCTAGGTAAAGGAAATGTTTTAAGTTAAAGTTACAAAAAACAGAAAATATTACCCTAATGAAGAAAGTTCGAAAATGAATATTGAACACACAGTCAGCTGATTATGTAATGAATTTTTACTACATCAAAAAGCTTTTCAGATTAAAACCGATAAGTGATTATGAATTTTAACTGATTTTCCATCTCTACCTCTTGGTCAACACTTTTTTTTAAATGGAAGTAAATCAGAGTTTGAATGAAGCTTATATCCTGAGTGATGCAAATGACTGGTTAAGGGCGATACAAATAATTGGTTAAGGGCAGTAAAATATATCATTATTCATTGGTTAAGGGCAGTAAAATATATCATTATTCATTAATATAAACTCTGAATGACAAAAAATGTTTACTGAAATATCAACAATAAACTTATTATAAATCCTTTTGTAACAATTGCACAGAAATGATTGATCAGATGTGAATGATGGACGATGATATTAATTAATTCTGAGCAGTCACAGCAATCAACATTAAATACACGTAGTAGGAGATTGGTTGCAGTAGTGTTTAAAATTATGACATATTTATGTTTTTTCTGCTTGTGAACTTTATTATCAATAAGAATTTCAATTTCTGAAAAAAAGCAGGTCACCTTCTACAGAACTACATCATACACCTTAAGAACTGGTCCAGCTACTACAAGTATACCTGTAACTTTCAAAGCATTGCCAAGGAGTTCTCTACACTTGAGACGTGTTGGGTCGGAGGTATGTGCTGCTGTACAAGAGGAGAAGGCACTGTCAACATTCTCCGCTGGCTTCTCCTCAGAGGACGGTGAGTTGCCTGCACTTTGAGATAATGACTGGGTGTCACCATTACTGTCTTTTTTACTTTCTGTTTTTGCAGCACCTTGTGACGAACTACTATCTGCAATCACAACACAATATTATCAATTCTCCTCCCAAAGAAAACCCTACCAATCACCATAGGCCATTATAAAATCTCTGATACAATGACCCATCAACAAGAATAATCCATAAAAATCTGCTCTCCTAAAATAACCTACCTATCCCAGCAATACAAATCTCCTTTCATACAATAACCCACCTATCCCAGTAATACAAATCTCCTCTCCTAAAATAACCCACCTATCACAATCTTCTATCACATGCCATCACCCGTCTGCTCTATCAATGTAGAACAAAAGGTCTATCGGGCCTGTTTTGCTCACCTGGTATAACTGATTCCATTTTACCTTTAAATGCATCAGACCAAATGTAGTCATAATCCAATTATTCCCGAAGGAAGAGATGAATTTTCCCCTCCTGGGCCCCTCCCCTTCCTCCCAAAGGGGCAGAGAATTAACATTTATCCTTTCACTCAAGAATGCCTAAGACCAAATTTGGTCAAAATCTGTTCAAACATTCATGACTAGTAGCATATTTTAGTAAATAGTTGACAGGCGCCACGCTATAACATAAGCTCTAATGTCCTTCGGACCAGGTGATCCAAATATCAAAACCATTGCCAGACTTCATCACACATCATTAAATTGTCAAATCTGGAAGTGAAATGAGATACTGAACTCCTATGTATTAGCTTCAAAAACACAAACAGTTTCACAGGTCACGTATGCCAACTTCAACACAGTGTTAAGTGTGATCTTCATGCTTTCCCATCAAACATTGCCACTCAGATTTAAAACTTTCTGTACACGTTATTTACTAAAGGTTTTACCAACCAGATATATCAAAACACAACGCTATTTCTTGCCAGCATCGGCTAGGATCTATCAGACCACAAGGTCAAACCCTGGCAGTACTGGTCAGTCTATCTGACCACAAAGTCATACCCTGGCAGCACTGGTCAGTCTATCAGACCACAAAGCCATACCCTGACAGTACTGGTCAGTCTATCAGACCACAAAGCCAAACCCTGACAGTACTGGTCAGTCTATCTGACCACAAAGTCATACCCTGACAGTACTGGTCAGTCTATCAGACCACAAAGCCAAACCCTGACAGTACTGGTCAGTCTATCTGACCACACAGTCATACCCTGACAGTACTGGTCCGTCTATCCGACCACAAAGCCAAACCCTGACAGTACTGGTCAGTCTATCAGACCACAAAGCTATACCCTGACAGTACTGGTCAGTCTATCAGACCACAAGGTCATACCCTGACAGTACTGGTCAGTCTATCAGGCCACAAAGTCATACCCTGACAGTACTGGTCAGTCTATCCGACCACAAAGTCATACCCTGACAGTACTGGTTAGTCTATCAGACCACAAGGACATACCCTGACAGTACTAGTCAGTCTATCAGACCACAAGGTCATACCCTGACAGTACTGGTTAGTCTATTAGATATACATACCTCCTGACGGTAATAGCTTTTTCCAGCCTTTGATTAGTGATTTGGCTACACTAATGACATCCTCATCTTTTGATGCCTTTCGGAAATTATTTACTGTCATTCCAATTCTAGTTTTCTGTAAAAGTAAAGGGAAAAAAACTTCAATATGAAAAAAAAGTAAATAAGCCACAGTCACTTTATTAAAACAAAATAACATACCAGTATGTGAATCTCCTAGCATGTGAGGAAGACTTTCAAATAAGGTTTTCAGTGTATGTACCTGGTTACAATCAAAGACACATTGAAAAAGATAGTAAAGTTATTCTACATCACTGTAAATGAAAAGAAGTCCTACCACTGCTTCACACTGCTATGAATGCAGTTGGATTTACATCATTTTTATATTTCTACTTGTACTTAAAATGATGTAACATGATAGCTATTTCAGTAAAGGGAGCAAATAATTGGGTGACATATAGCTGTTTAGGAGTATCTCAAACCATACACAAAGATCAATACCCAAGACAATGATAAATAATATAGAACAACTACACCAGGGAGTTTGGAGTGATATATTCAACAGTGTTTTCTTTTAAACTTTTTAGTCTCCAAATTAATTATTTTGTGTAATTTGCAGGTAATAGAAAGCTAAAAAAGATCCTTACAAAATGATATAATAATTTGTGTTTATATCAGCACAGAAATGTTTAAAAGGAATCTAGATATGTCATTTTTAGCAACAAAGTTCAAACCAGCTATTGGAGATCCATTTATCAATTAACTCAGTAATATTTTTTTATGAACAACCATACAAACCTTTTGACTAATACATACCTGTAACACATTTAAATTCATTTTTATGTCTTTAAGCTTCTTCAGTAAGTCTGCTGATGAACTGTGATCCTATAACAACAAGAAATAAAATGAGCAGTTAGAAATTATACTGATAACTATCTAAATCATAAAAATTCAAATAATTGATATTTGGTTTCTTTTTTCAACAGATTTCGTTTTCAGCTGTTTTTCACAATTTTGTTAAAATTTCTGTTTGTCAGATAGAACAAAATCTATGAAAAACATCTGTAAATGAAACTTTTTAGCTTTTTGTGTGCCTATGAAGCTCTTAAATAGCAAGAATTAAGTACTTATATGTAAACCAAGACTGGACAGACTTTTGTACCATATACACATACATATATATATATATATGGGGAAAAATTTAAATCTCTTCATTCAGTTTGGTTAAAATATCATGAAGTTTTGGTAAAGATGAGGATTCTCTCTGTCAGTTTACTTTATATTGTTTGCTTCATTTTAATAATCAAATGAAAAAAATTCTGTTGATTTTTGATAAAAAAATTCTTGAAGTTTTTGCAAGGCAAAACTAGATGTCAACTAAATTATTTTCTTTTTAAATCTGGCTTCACTTTAAAAAGTTTCCAGTAATCTGTCTTGATAATCCGAAAAGTAAGATTAATACTTTTCCATCAAATATTCATTAATAGAGAGAAAATTGAATGCAAATAAAAAAAGCTGAATTATATATATTTTTATCTTTTTATTCCCAGAAGACTGAGAGACGATGTGGTGTTAAAGTTGTCTCCCTTATATATATATTCTGTAAACATTGCTTTGTTGTCACTTTTGTTTCATTTTCATTTGATTTCAATGTAACCCTGGTAAAATACTAGCCGCAATATACCACTCGGCTAGAGAGAAGTTCTTTCTAGCCAAGTGGTATATTGCGGCTAGTATTTTACCAGGGTTACATACTCCCCCTCCAGGAAACAACTCATCCTCGAGTTTGCAGGGATTACAGCGATGCTGGTGGGGCATGGCTAAGTACTATTCCCAGGTCCCTACATGGGCGCCAATGTAACAGAGATCATTTTTCATCTCAATGCCTCCGCAAGGAATCAAACCCGGGACCACTGGCTTACTTGTCTGACGCTCAACCAATCAAGCTAAAGAGAAGTTCTCTCTAGTCGAGTGGTATATTACGGCTAGTATTTTACCAGTGTTACATCAGTAAGTCACAAGGATGCTTATTAACACCAGAAAGATCGTGTATGTTGGTTATAAGCCCATGATATGAAATGAATCACATATATCCCGGAAGATGCATCATGAACTACACATTACCAAGAAAATATTCTGTGATAAAATAGGCTACAATATTAGTTGACTAAATCCCTGTTATCATTATCAATTAAACAGAATAATGCACAAGTGTTAAAAATAATGTGTCTTTTTTGTCTGCTTTGTTAACAAATACCAGTAACATCATAACATGCTTTCAGCCTATTTCGGTGAAGATAAATTATAATTGTGAGAATAGATTATCATTCTGAAATGCTAATGATCTATTTCGGGATTTACATTTTATCTTTATATTATGACTGCATTTAAGGGGCAAGTACTACAATTTCCACTGTGTACTATTCCTGTTATGTGCACAGCACACCTCACATAAATAAAACACATATGTATCAACAGAAATATAGTTGCACTTTGCAGCTCTACATCACACAAAGTAACAACAACTGTAATGTTGTCAGGGCTAAAATTAGTTAGCATCTGACTAGTTGTAATGTGGTTTACTAGCACTATAACATGAGGCAAGGGAAACAACTCGTTCATCCTTGTAGGTAATTCACATGACGTCGTTTTGAAAAAATTACTGCCAGTGCTAACCGAAAAAAAGATTAATTTTTCTATTTTGCGTTTTTCATACAAAGAATTAAGATATGCCTTGCTTGAGAGTATCTGGATCAAGAGAAGACAGACAACTCTACTCTACTGTAGTACAAGCTAAAACAAATCCAACGTTTGTTAGGGTCAAGGTCGTAAAGCAGTCGAAAGCAAGTTGGTCAATGTAGCTATCACATACAATTAACAATTGTTACCTGCGAAATGATTAAAATAACACGTAAAGGTGTCCTCTATTTATATATAAAAACAAATTCATTAAAATTAATTTAATTGATACGAGTTTAATGAAATGCACGCAGAAAAGGCAAACACTTTCATCAAAAAAATATCGCGACACACACGTTTATGAACAATACTTACGGTGCTATTGTTTGATATCATCTTTTCCAGCTTTTTCCCGATCTTAACGACTTCTTCTTCACAACTCATGGTTTATTTGAATGGACTGAGTCGAATATATCGCGAACTTAAGGGTTTATTGTGGACTATCTTTGGGACTTTGCATTTGTTAGTGTTTTGTCTGTGTCTTCTGAAACCGGAAGTAAATCTAATATTGAAAATGGCGGTCAATGGCAGTCTGGGAAAAATTATAATGTTAAGTCGATTAATGAAAAGTCTTGCGTCTTAAGAAAGTCTTGATAAAACTAGAGTACTGTATCTTTCCCATCGGATTATGTCTAATAAATGATCATATGAATGTTGAGCTCGGAATAAATTCTAATAGTTTTAACCAATTACGATATTAATTATCCGGAAAATATATAGATTGATTACTTTTGTCCATTTTGATAACTGATTGTTTTCTTAAGAATTTCGATGTATCTAAGGATAAAATGAAAAAGTCAGATAAAATAGAAAGCAATTTTGGATAAACACGACATTTGTCCACTGTCTATCCGGACAATTTATTCGAAAATTATCGTACTACAACTTCTTTCCGGTCTACAAAAAGTCTATTTTCAGTTTTCGGCACAACCAACTAAATACGAAGTTGGTCTAGGTCTTTGGTTTCTGGATTACGAAAACACAAAAGTATAATTTTATAGTATGGAGAAGTAGATGAATATGTTCCGGGGGAAGGGAAAGTCGAAAAGTTCACAGCATAGTGAAACTGGACGTGAATCTGGAAAGTCGGTAAGTTTGTTCAGATTCAACTTCACCTCTGGGTATGCACCGGGTGAAAGCCCCCGGAATTAGTGCTGCGACATACTTAGATGTTAACGACATGTATTTCAATCCGCTCTGGACTGTTGAGGGGCCAGAGATGGCAAACAAAATGGGGAAATGCATAACATTTTATACAATTATAGGATTTATTGAGAATGTTTATTTTGCAGGGTGTGTCAGTCCTAGATGGGTTAAATCAGGAAGCCCATTTTGAAGTATGTTTCCTTGGAGTTGTTCGAGATATCAACATGGGCACATCCCGCAAGCGAGACAAAGAGGCCCAATTGGTTGACCAGGTAGAGGAAGCCCAGGTAAAAAAAAACTAGTGACTGCCAGGCAATGAAGCAAAACCATTAGCGTGATCTTAGTCAAATTGAAGATACAATGATACTAGTTCTGCTAATCATTAGCAGGGACGTATTATACGTCCCTGTCATTAGTGATGGTATTCAAACATATCGTAACTGTTAAAGAATCTGTCTCAAAATGGACTGTGCATAACTATGTATACATAAACAGACCAATTAAGGTTAATATGAGAATGATTCACCCAACACTTCTCCAGAAATAGTGATAACAAACTTTTAGTCACAAAATACAAGATGGCCATTTGTCAGCCATATTAAATTTCAGATCAGTCGGAAAACAAACACAAGGGACCAAGGGGAACCTACTTGCATATGGAATTTGAAAATGATTTGTCAAAGATATAGCAATAACAAGAATTGCTTTAGGACTATGGACAATATATTAGAGGAGAAGATTTGGAATACTTAGAGCACTTTATGCAAATAGCATATTTCAGGGATATGTGAACTGGTGGAACAGTCGATGTTTATCATAGAAATAGAACATAGCTAGAAATGAATCCCTTGAGATTCCTTCTTGGGACACCTTTATATCAGACTGACAATTTCCATCGCAAAAATTCTGATGAGGGACATTGTCAAACATTCTATATAATTGAGTCCCACAGAGAAATCCCAAAAGGTATTAAGCTAGAGATGTCCCAGACTCTATGAAAATCTGTGGATAATTCTATTATGATAAGTTATAACATTTACATCAACTGTAATCTTAACATTTCAATGCTAAAACTGTTTTTACAACAACAATAACAACAAATAAAAAAAATCCTTTGATGCTTAGCTATATAGGTAAGATGTTAATTGAGCACAAGATTTATTTCCTATGCAAATTATCCTTGAGAATTTTTTTGTCAAACAATGAATATTCTAAAATCTCCATTTAAACATTTAAACTGTAAAAGCTTCCTATAAGTAATGACAGTAAATGATTTACTTATTATGAAGGTGTGTTTGATTTACATTATCTCAATTTAAATCTGATCTCTGGTATTAGCCAATTGTAACAGATTTCTTATTTGTATTGAAGATTGATGGTAAACTTCCACTATCACCAAGAGATGAAGATAAAGTATTCATCACCATATCCAGACATGGTCTGAAGGTGTTAGACTCCACAAAGAAGGTAAAACAAATTCTATACTGAGACTCATATGTTTCTTGTAATCAAAATACCTATATGAAATATAGTTGCTTGGATTGATTAAATAGAATTGTCCTAGTCTTTTGTCTACAATCAAATCACCATTTTTTTCTAGTAGTAAATACTTTTTTATTTTTACTTGGATCATGAAAATTAATTGATCTTTAGAAAAATTTCGAGTGCTGCAAAGTCAAATCATAAATGATGGTAAATCTGTTGTAAAAGTTCAGTAGAGTATATCATATTGTTTGGTGTATAAACACAGGAGGTTCTACAGAGACACCCACTCCATATCATTGCTCAAGTGGTGCATTATGAGGATGGTTTTGGTAAACCCAATGTTGCCTTTAAAATTGGACAACTACAGCACTCAAAGGACACATGTATATACCAGTGTTACGTCTTCCAGTGTCCAAATGAGGTTAGTGAAATTACAAAAACATCCGTATTGAGAAACTAGTTTTCAATTGTAATAGTGATTTATTGTACATTGATTTCTATGTTCAGAAACAATCCATATTTGGTCATCATAGATTAAAGTATTTTAATGAATACTACCTGGTTTGTAATTGAAGAAACAGATTGGTCCCTATCCTATGTTTTGAGGGATGAATTGTCCCACTGTTAATATAACTAGCTAAAGTTTAAGAAGACAGCTTGGTGCAATAAACTAGTCAGTATTTTAGGGACAGATTCTCCTACTATCAAGACAGTGTTTATAGAAAAATTATCCTACTATCAAGATGGTGTGAAGAAGACAGGTTGTGTTTAGTGGACAAATTGTCTCACTACCCACACAGTGTTGAGTGGACAGTATGTGTTTTTTATTTTCAGGATCAAGCCCAAGCTGTATGTCAAAGTTTAAGGAACATTTTCAATGTTATAACTGTCCAGTGAATCCTTCATCATGATGTCAGGATAATTGTCCTGAGATTCTCGTCAAAAGAACAGAAATTTACTGGGCCAGATATTATCATCAAAAGTACAGAAACTTACTGGTTCAGTGAATACTACTTTTCAAAATATCAAAAACACCAGTTTCAAGGATCCTATTTTTGAAGATATCAAGAATAGTCAATTGAGTTCTGCATTCATCTTTCTTGTTTGAATAGATCACTGGTTGATGTGATGACACAAACACTACCTTAGGATGTTCCATGCATGTAATGGGTGTTGTGACTTTCACAGATACTTGAACAACCCAGTACACTTCTCAAGTAAAGTTTCCTTGTAAAGAAGATGCTGAGTAGTAAAAATGTGTCTCTGTGAACGTATTTTACATATCACCGTGTGTTCATTGAAGACTTTCCCTACTGCTGGACAGTAGATTATGAACGGTTGTGATGCATTTGTTTGCTATTTTTTATTTAACAAATAAAATTATCTTTATTAAAGTTACCAATTGTAGAGTGGTTATCAGTTTGTATATATCAGCCAATGTTGTACCTCATACATACTGTCTGTTCTTCCCAAATCTTGTCTGAACAACGCCAAATGTATAACCAAAGTTTGTGTGTGTAAACGGTTTACTGTTTGGTTGTTGCTGTGGCTCAAAAAAAATCTGAAAACAGAATTCCTTTAGCAAAGAGATAATTCTAAAAGAGTCGACTCCAAATACTCAAAATTCTTTTCTGATTTTCGTTTGGAACAATATTTAGAATTTCATCACCGTTTTCACTCAACTAGCAAGGCACCTTTTAAACTCAAGATTATTTTCGACAGGAACAAGCAGAGTCGGGGAAATGATCCTAATTTTAATTTCACTCAGAAAATATTTATTTAGAAAAATACCTATTCCATCACATTGCTTTTAGTAACATGAAAGTCAGTAGGTCAGTAACTAAAGGGGGTTTCTGTATTAGAAGAATTTCTGACAAAGTACTCCTGTCTGAAGAGAATATCTTGAGGTGGAGAATTGCCCAGTTACCAGCCAGTTATAAGCCACACACCAAAATCTTCAGGAAAGATAACTTTTGAATGCTTAAAGACGGCATGTTATAAGCTCCCTATTGGGAATCAGGGGACTTTAGATTTAAATCATGTCCATTGCTCTTTCCACACTTTATCTTGTAGTGTGAAGCAGTGTTACTTACCAAAATAATTGATGTTTGACCTATATCAAAGAAAACATTTGTCCGGGCTCCATTTACTGGAACTTATACTTGAGGTAAAGGTTAATCTAGATTACAAAGGAAGTGTTTCTTGTACTAAATGTGACCTACTTTTTTACCTCTGACTAAAACTTAAAATTTGGTCACTTTTGCGTAACCAAATTGATAGACAAGTGCACAAATACTAGAAGTTGGAACATTTTTGCAATTTCCTGTCGAACGTAAAACAGTGATCTGATCAAATATCTCTATTTAACATGTATTTAATAGCACAACATTTGCTATAATATGTGTGAGCACCAACCCTCCTTTATGCAAAAATTCTGTTAGTTTTGGTCAGGTACATCTGACCCCCTCAAACTCCGCTTGCTAAAATATTCAGCAGTTCAGTTTCAGTCATGATCTGTACCTCATGTTTCTCTTACAAATTCAACCAGTCCTATCGTTTCATCAGTTTACATGAAAGTGACCTTGGTGACACCATCGCAAGCAAAACTTACCGATATCCATCCAGCAGATTTATTTGAAAGAGCAACACCAACACTACTACTTAGTAAACATGGAGAGTCTGTCAGATTCACTTTCTACAATTAGTTCCGGCATAAATTCATCATCTGTGCATTCTCGGCATAAAATTTCACATCAGGTGGGGAACTAATTTTTCTTGTGTATACAAAACAGAAGTTCTTTACTTAAAATGTCAACTTTTATACTTTGGTAAAGAATAACAAGAAAAGAAAAGTATATATAGCAGAATTTTATTTTGGTACAAGTATAGCCACTTCTTATACAATGAATTGATTACAATGCTTTCCCATATCAGGTTGAGATCATTTCTGTGCTATGGATAAATGTTGTGAGATGTGTACAGTTTATGTCACTCAGAAGTATGACAACCCTGTTGACAATGTTTGTCTTTTTAGTGTCCTAACTACATATAAAGTTGTATTTTCCTTGGGAAAAATTAATTTTATTTACATATTGAAATACTTGTACATATGTGGATAACTTTGAATAAATATATTGGTAAGAAGAAAGTATGTCAGCATGCCTATCGTTGGATATTTCTCAAGGAATGAAAATTAGACAATATCAATAATTGCCAATGTAATGATTTGAGCAAAACGTGCATTTATACAATTTCAGTTCTCTGCAAGTTTTTTGAAAATGACACCCATTCACACATTGTAACTTTGAGCATTTGTACATCTAATGTAAATGAAAAACAAAACTCATTTTCAAAACAAGTGCCTAAACCTTAAGCATAGTAAGAGATATATACTTCACTTCAAACAATGAAAATGCTTAAATTTTCTAAATTTCAAATACAGGATATAAATATAAGCTCAGCCATCAGTGTACTTTCTCTACACACAACCTGTACCAGTGTTGGTAGTTTAAAGACAAACTTTCTTAAAATCTGATCCATATAATGATGAAGGAAAATCGTGCTTCATTTTATATACCAAGTAATTTTTTACACAGAAAATTCTTCCCTAAACTTTGTTCAAAATATACAAATATCCATTATCTACTGAAGATCTTGATATTTACATATACTGTTAAAAAACAACTTTTCAAGTCATTGGGCATGAAAAATAATTGAAAAAATGCATTTTGAAACTTGAGGGACTAATGAAGGCTGAAAGTGGTCATATAGAACCACTTGTGGCCAGGAAGGAATGTACCATTCATACAGTTTAGTTAATGTGATTTGAATATGTATCTCACCTTATTTCTTTATCAAAATGGTTTTGAGCCCAAATCACACATTTGTTTTTTGACAAAGTTTGTGTGAATAGTACGAAAGTGCTATTCTACGGAGCCAGTTTACCGACATGCTCTATACTTATTTTATTTCGTTTTATCAAAATATTATTTCGTTTTATCACCATATTATTTTGTTTTTTCAAAATACCATTTCCTTTTATTGAAATACTATTTTGTTTTATTGAATACTATTTTGTTTTATCAAAATGTTATTTCGTTTTTTCTTTTACTAATGTTTATACTTTCTGAAAGTCTCAGTTTTCCTATGGCCGATTGTCGTTTGGCGGTAGTGAAGGATTATTTTTCATTAGGCTTAAAACAAAATGACATGATGGATTCTAAATTTTAAACATGTCATTCGTCTCAGTCTCAGGGGATCTGGTATGGTGCATGGATATCGATGGATATATCAAAAAATGAAAAATAAAGACATTTAAGCAAGGAAAGAAGAAGTTCAAATATTAATGAGCATTTTAGACCCAGAAGGAACAAAACATCAACTAGTTACTTTTCAAAGACAATAAACATTGCAAAAAGGTTTTCAGTTGTTAGTACGGAGGAGAGTGGAGATGCATCCAGTTTTAGCTAAACCAAAAACCTATTATATATATGTGTACATGTTGTATGCATTGCCATCAAGCTGCATATATGTAATCAGAACTCTGAAATTAAATTTTCAACTGAATGGTATATTTTTTTTCATTTTGAAAAAAATTACTGGCATACTCTATACATGTAGATCTATGACACACAATTTATTAATATCTAGATAAAGCTTGTAGTCGTGTGTATATCACAAGACCTGGACAGCGGACTCCTGTGCTGTTCTCTACTAAATTATTTCCTTTCATAATTCATGTTTTCCAATTTAAATTTAAGTACTATAAACATAATCACAGCCTACAATAAGGACCAAAACAACCCAATAACTCATGACACGTTCAAGGTTTCAAAACGAAATATTTTTTTGAAAAAACGAATTAATATTGCATTAAAATAAAAAAATATTTTGTTAAAACGAAATAAAATAAGTATATATCATGTAAGTAAACGGGCTCCGTACTATTCCATTTTTTTTTTTTTTGTAATGCATATTTTTTCTTCTATTAAGGTTCACATATTCACACAAAGCCAGTCCAACATATTTCATGATCATATAAATTGTTTCAATAATGATTACTGGAACAATACAAGTTCATTCTATCATTTCTTACTACTTAACATTCTTCCTAGTTATAAATCTTAAGATCATAAATTATGAGAAATACATTTTCTCTAAAGTATATGAAAACATAGCTGGCAGTAACCTAGTAATGGCTTGCAACACTCTCCTACCCTTTTTGAATGTATGGAGTCACCAATAATGCTACACATGGTACAGCACAAATGCCCTGGAAACCTTCTAAACACATATAGATTCAAGGTGTATACGATACACCTCAAACTACATATTACATATACAGGTATAAAAATAGAAAAGTGCATGTATTGATTAATATTACAAACCAGCAGAAAACAGATCTTCATAGCACTACTGATAAAGAACAACTATCATAAAATACAACAAAAATATATCTCACAAGTTTAAAACAAATTAATCCAATACCTGTACATTTAGTTATCAGAATATGACTGCTTCTTACAGGACTGGTCATTGGGGCAGGGAGCTACTTACAACTAAAAGATACAGGACAGATATATTCCTAGTCTGAGTGGGGGGAGGGGTAGAAGTATATAGACAAAATAAATACTATTTGTAAGAAATCTATCAGGCTTTCTATATATTAGTGGTAGGGGGGAGGGGGAAGAACTATAAAGACAAAATAAATACTATTTGTAAGAAATCTATCAGGCTTCAAATGGAGATTTGTATTTGCAATGTTGGAAAAGAGATGGGAGGGGGGGGGGAGATATTGAATATACAGGTACCAATATAAACATATATAACTAATTATGAAGTCACGATGGGGAGATGGTATTTATCAGAAAAACTCAACTAATCAATGATTTTAAGGGGTTCATTTTATAATTTTAATGGTAATATATCTTTATACAATGTATATATACACAACAGGGGATATATTCACAGACCTTGACAATATATCACAACCGTAAGATTACAAACCAACACATTTCTTGTCAGACTTACAGCATCTTATGATAAACCAATAACGTTCTGAACAAAAATATCATACAACATATTTGTGAAAACCAAATCAAAATATGATGGAACATTTTGCAAAATTTATGGCCTGATTATAAATGTTTTCGACTTCATGGAGGAAAAGAGTAAGAATACGACAGCGTGATATAAGTTCAGCACAAAATGAAATCATAAAACTAAATGTCCATTGTATTGTTATTTACATCAGTAGTTAATGATATAGTAAGATCAAAAGGTCAAAAGGTCCTGTGTCTACCATTAGGTTGACCTGATCTTTAAATCTTTGATAACAAAAAAATCTTGATGTTGTTTTCTCCTTGGGATCTGCCTCAAAGTTTAGATGCAGCTACATGCTAAGAAAACCCACCACACTTATGTAATTTCAGATCAATTCTTCCTGACTTTCCTGAGAACTATCTATACCAATCTGCAGACGTCAAAAATACAAAAAGGCTACCTAATAGCCAAATTATTCTTCTAGTCAATCTTATCACTACACAAACACCACTTCCGACCAAAAGGAATGTAAACATAGATTAGAGAAGGACCATTTGATTTCAGTTATGCAGGGGGAGGGGAGACTTCAATATACCAATAACATCTCCTTTATTCTATTATAGTATATTAACAATAACAATCTTAACACCCCCGATACAATGTTTGAGACAGGACAGCTAGGAACCTAAGGAAACATACAGAAGAAATTTTAGGGAATATCTGTTGAACACTTCCTGAAATAAGTGACAACAAATTTTGAATCTCATAATATGAGAATAACTGCAAACATATGGCTACCTGTCACTCTGATTTCTTTAGTCTTTTCAAAAAATTAAATATTTGTAAAAAGGACCAAAGGAAACCCTACACCAAAGTGCTAAAATGAACAGAACAATAAGGACAGATGATCGGTAGTCTATTTACTAAAGGTGTTTCATAGAGGTAACTGAAATAAGTAGTCCCTTTATCTCTCGCAGATATCACGTCTGAAATTTGATAATTCTATCGCCCAACTTAACTTAACTCCCCATCAAACATTCAACAAGAAAATCTTGTGCATCTATAAAACAGCAATATTAACTATAATGAAACCGCATTAAAGATACACATAAAGTATATGTACCATCATGATGAAAATTTACAAACGCTCCAACACATTTCTATCAGAAATAAAACAATGTTCCATTGTAGTTTTGGAAACTTCTACACTTCTGCATGAACATCTTCAGCCAGAAATGATCAGCTTGCTGTTTCCAACAACAATAACAACACAGAATCACAGATTAATATATTTGATATGATTGAATAAAATTAGCACCATTCCATTACGAATGCACCATAAAGAATTTTTCATCAATGTGACGACCTCTTCTTCACATTGTTCGATCTGTCTCCTCACACTCATGAAGGTAGTGTTTCACCAACAATATAGGCTACTAGATATATGAGGATAACCCCTATCACTTACACATACCAATCTCCACACAGTCCCTATTCTCGTCACTTACAGCTACAAATCTCCACACAGTCCCTATTCTCATCACTTACAGCTACAAATCTCCACACAGTCCCCATTCTTATCACTTACAGCTACAAATCTCCACACAGTCCCTATTCTCGTCACTTACAGCTACAAATCTCCACACAGTCCCTATTCTCGTCACTTACAGCTACAAATCTCCACACAGTCCCCATTCTTATCACTTACAGCTACAAATCTCCACACAGTCCCCATTCTCGTCACATACAGCTACAAATCTCCACACAGTCCCTATTCTCGTCACAGCTACAAATCTCCACACAGTCCCTATTCTCTTCACTTACAGCTACAAATCTCCACACAGTCCCTATTCTCGTCACTTACAGCTACAAATCTCCACACAGTCCCTATTCTCGTCACTTACAGCTACAAATCTCCACACAGTCCCCATTCTCGTCACTTACAGCTACAAATCTCCATACAGTCCCCATTCTCGTCACTTACAGCTACAAATCTCCACACAGTCCCTATTCTCGTCACTTACAGCTACAAATCTCCACACAGTCCCTATTCTCATCACTTACAGCTACAAATCTCCACACAGTCCCCATTCTCGTCACTTACAGCTACAAATCTCCACACAGTCCCTATTCTCATCACTTACAGCTACAAATCTCCACACAGTCCCCATTCTCGTCACTTACAGCTACAAATCTCCACACAGTCCCTATTCTCGTCACTTACAGCTACAAATCTCCACACAGTCCCTATTCTCATCACTTACAGCTACAAATCTCCACACAGTCCCGATACTCGTCACTTACTGCTACAAATCTCCACACAGTCCTCATCCTCTAGTTGAGATAAGTGTTGCTCACATTACCCATGCTTGCATCGATTTGCTGAAACTGAGTGGAGATTTTGTCCAAAATGTCATCAATATGACTTCCATCTGTAGAAACATCACTGACTGATCTCCTGAAAAATACAGCAAACATGTATCTATTTAATATCAATATCCATCTCAATTAAAACCACAGATAAATATTACTTTCTTTCTCATACTTATCAGTGAGTTACCTGAACTATAAAAAAAGAACACAAAGCCAAATCAATATTGTAGATATTTTTTTTCAATGGTTCAAAATTTTATGGTTTTACAACTAAGTGATCCTACAGGGATCTTTGCGCTACCATTGTTTGATCATATGTTCGTTAAAAGATTAATCTTTTCCCTTCTTTTCTTTTCTTTCATCTTATCTGCTCTTAATTTTATGAAATTTGAGAATTCCTCTTTAATAACCTTGTATTCAATCGTTAAACGAAAGATGGTAACCTGTCTGTAATTTTGTTTCTCTGATCAGCCCTACAATCAAAGGGGCATAACTGAGAAGAAAGGGGAATCTACATCTGAAACCTTACTAAAGATCCATCTTGTATCTCTCAAAAAATAATGACTATAAACTCACAAAATTAAGATTAAGAAAGTTGCCGCTCTGTCATTTTGTATTTTTGACCAGTCCTTAAGAAGAAGAGCACAACTAGGGACCAAGAGAAACCTACAAATAAATCTTAAGAAGGATCCATAAAGTCTTTCCAAGAAATAGCAATGGCAATATTCCATTTTCTGATACATTCAGTATTTCTCAAGATATAGGTAACAAAATTGCCAAAATCCAAGATGGCCACCTGTCAGCCATTTTGCTCTGATCAGTCTCAAAATTACTGGTAAAAGAACATAGAAGACCAAGAAGACCTCATAAAGGAAATTTTGGAAGGATCAATCCCGTACTTCTCCAGAAAAGGCGACAAAATCTGTAACAGCTAAAAAAGAAAGATGGCCTCCTCTCATTTTGCATTTTGTTCTAAAATAGATGGCCGCCTGTCAGACATGTTGTTTTTCCATTCAGTGTCCCGAAAATGAACCATGCACAATTAGGGACCAAAAGGAACCTACATAGGAAATTTGAGAAAGATCCATCTAATGCTGTCTGGAACTGTCTCAGGGGAGATGAATGAAAAGTTTGACAACTGAAAAAAGTTATTTGACCGACCATATGAAAAGAATGTACTTTTCTCAAAAGCCATCTACTGGATTCAGAATTTCTTCTTAAATTTTCTAAAGAAATATTTTCTTTGTGAAAATAGCAAAAGACAGAACCCCTTTGTGATAACAAATTTTTCAGCAACTCATTCCGATGAGGTACCAATATAGCAGCAAACCAGGGCTAAACATTTGACTCGTTAGAGCCAATGAGGTACCAATATAGCAGCAAACCAGGGCTAAACATTTGTCTCGTTAGAGCCAATGAGGTACCAATATAGCAGCAAACCAGGGCTAAACATTTGACTCGTTAGAGCCAATGAGGTACCAATATAGCAGCCAACCAGGGCTAAACATTGGACTCGTTAGAGCCAATGAGGTACCAATATAGCAGCAAACCAGGGCTAAACATTTGACTCGTTAGAGCCAATGAGGTTCCAATATAGCAGCAAACCAGGGCTAAACATTTGACTCGTTAGAGCCAATGAGGTATATAATGTGACAGCAAACCAGAACTGGACTAACCTGTAATTTCCTGGAAAACTATTGCGGCTTGATAAAGTGCCATCTTCTGGTTCCTTAACATCATGTTTCTTCAGGAAGTCAGCAAAGTAACGATAATCCTTTTCAGGGATAAAGGGGCAGAGACCTATAAAGATAACAGGAAGTTATTTATATTATAAATTCATTTATAATGTGGGTACGGCTGTATTTTTGTTACGAGCAAAGTAACAGAACAGAAAGAACTCTCTCCATGACCGACCTGAAACAAAAAATTGACCTGTCTACATCATCAAGAGATGCAAACGTGACAAGTGGATGTAATTTATGTATCAACTCAATTTTAAATGTTTTGGCGAGTATGACACCTTGAGGAGGAAAACACTATGAACATCTAGGAATATTAGTTCAAGAAATGGGGGGTACTCAAGGAATAAAAGTTCAAGCAATCCATGGTTCAGTAACAAAAGATGTGTAAGGATAAGGTTGAAGTGATGTCATTAATTCAACAAATGGGGGTATTTGAGTACTGCAGGTTTGAGGCAGTGGGGTTTTACTAGAGTAAGTTGTTTACCTCCCAGTAGATTCTTCCTTTGAGGACCATATAACTTAAATACACGTTCACAGAAGTCAGGAAATGGCATGTGGGAACTGGAATCATTTAGAGTTTTAAGTAAACCAGCAAATGTCGTCAACTCCTCCAAGTTAAATTGGTTTGGAAGCTGCAAACAAAATCACATTGAAACAATCAATTCCAATATACCATTGAAATATCTGACAAGTTCTTGTACCATTTCTTCAAATAATTGTCTTTTAATCCATACAATAATAAGCAGACAGAATTGATCACACACCTCTTCCATATAAATAATAAGAAAGTTTAATTTAAAGATGGAGTTTTTACTTTATATTTTCATCTCGCTCACATAAACTTAAATGAATTTCTTTAGCTCTAATTTGTGTATACAAACACTATTTTCATGTAAACATGACATGACTAATTTATTTATAGATTTTCAGTATGTACACACCTCTTCCATGTAAACATTGACTAATTTCGTCCTTGAGCTGGTATCACTTTTGCCGGATTCACTTTTCGTCCTGACCTTAGGCATTGGGTCCTTACCATTGGGGACGTAGATTGGGTCTTGTGAGTTTGACATACTGTGGAAAGCAATCATATATACTCTGAGTAATCAATTACTCTACATACAAATCAAACTTATTCTGCAGTAATACTTCCAAAACAGATATCCTTGTTGTCACAGCATGTTTCAGTTTCAAAGTAGGCTTAATTACCCTAATTGAAATAATTCACCTAAACATCTACAAAACGTTTTTTTCATCTTCATCCAGGTCATGGGTCACAATAAGGTTGGGGGTCCAGATTAATTGTCAGCAACAAATATTTGATAAAAGATACAATAACTTAAAACAATTAATCACAAAATAATGTAATATTGTAATGTAATATGGGATCCCTGGTAGTATACTGTTGATGACAGAGGCTAATGTTTTGTCAATATTTTCAAATGAGAAATGAGAGCAAAATCCATTTTGTGACTTCTCAATTGGAATATCACTATCCTACACCCTGATACACAAAAAATTCTTATATCCTCTGTAATATCCCTTGTTCTATGACCTATACTCTAAACCCTTAATAGTATCTCCTTTCTCCTGTACCATTTATAATACCCAACCTATACATACCTAAACCCTATATTCTATATAATACCCTACATCCTAAACTCTATATTCTATAATACCCTACATCCTAAACTCTATATTCTATATAATACCCTACATCCTAAACCCTATATTCTATAATACCCTACATCCTAAACCCCATATTCTATATAATATCCTACATCCTAAACCCTATATTCTATATAATACCCTACATCCTAAACCCTATATTCTATATAATACCCTACATCCTAAACTCTATATTCTATATAATACCCTACATCCTAAACCCTATATTCTATAATATCCTACATCCTCAACCCTATATTCTATATAATATCCTACATCCCTACAATAATATCCTACATCCTAAACCCTATATTCTATATAATACCCTACATCCTAAACCCTACATTCTATAATATCCTACATCCTAAACTCTATATTCTATATAATACCCTACATCCTGAACCCTATATTCTATATAATATCCTACATCCTCAACCCTATATTCTATATAATATCCTACATCCTCTAACCCCATATTCTATATAATACCCTACATCCTAAACCCTATATTCTATATAATACCCTACATCCTAAACCCTATATTCTATATAATACCCTACATCCTAAACCCTATATTCTATATAATACCCTACATCCTAAACCCTATATTCTATATAATTCTATATAATACCCTACATCCTAAACTCTATATTCTATATAATACCATATATCCTAAACTCTATATTCTATAATATCCTACATCCTAAACCTTATATTCTATATAATATCCTACATCCTAAACCCTACATCCTAAACCCTATATTCTACATAATAACCTACATCCTTAAGCCTATAGTCCACCCTTTATCCTTTTCCTGATATCTATTTTCTATACTCTATATAACACCCTATATCCTATTTTCTATACTCTATATAACACCCTATATCCTATTTTCTATACTCTATATAACACCCTATATCCTATTTTCTATACTCTATATAACACCCTATATCCTATTTTCTATACTCTATATAACACCCTATATCCTATTTTCTATACTCTATATAACACCCTATATCCTATTTTCTATACTCTATATAACACCCTATATCCTATTTTCTATACTCTATATAACACCCTATATCCTATTTTCTATACTCTATATAACACCCTATATCCTATTTTCTATACTCTATATAACACCCTATACTCTATATAACACCCTATATCCTATTTTCTATACTCTATATAACACCCTATATCCTATCCCCAATATAGTACAGATAGGTAAGGAATACCTTATACACACATTAATGAAGTAATGATTTTTTCTTTTTATTTGATTGTTTTTGATAAACCTCTCTGATACTAGAAGACATTGATGTATACTTACTAAGATGGCCTCTCTGTGATTGATGAAGTAATGGTTGACTCTTAAAAAAAAAAAAAAAAAACACTAAACTTCAAACCTGCTAAAATTAAAGTTATATTGATTGAACAAACATTGTTTACATATTTCATCTCATTCACTTAAACTTCATATAAACATATTTTTTTTATCAAATAGACATTTAAGTAAATATTAAACCATACTAACAAAATACAAGTACCTGGGTATATATTAAGATGTGTGAAACAATTTGAATACTTATTACACCACACATTAAACTCTAATTATATCTCTCAGATTATACTGTAGATAAACCAAAGTGAGCTCATATACTCATCACTTTCGAACCTTTTCATTGGCAACTAATTCTGTTGAGGGCTTCATAAAAAGTTTTTTTACTTTTAAGATTAAGATTTTTTAAATAGATGTGTTATCTAATTTCTAATTCTAAAAGATTTGCCAGGAATTTACCTGCGGAGTTGACAGATTTGCCATCAATAGCTCGCTCCAACAACTGTATGGTAAATTCTATGTAAACCATCTGAAAACATTTCTCAACCAAGGCACAGATTCCCTGGGCTTGACCCTGAAAAATATGTTGAACTAATATAACTATATGTTACTGAATGGCATAAACCTATTACAATATATAAGACTTGTTTTTAGTGAACAAAAACATGAGTCTCTTCTTATCAACAATTAATTATGTAAATACTTTGTTGCTCTTAAAGAAAGTTGGTTGTGAAAGAATTAGAATGATGTTACTATTAACGATGTTATTAAGTTGTAGCAGCTATGGTATAGATAACTATAGATACTAAATACTTAGATGAGATAAATAACTAGGTATCTACAGATACACTTCCTCAGTTAGATGAGACAAATCACCAGGTATCTACAGATACACTTCCTCAGTCAGATGAAACACTGGTATCTACAGATACACTTCCTCATAACCAGGTATCTACAGATACACTTCCTCAGTTAGATGAGACAAATAACCAGGTATCTACAGATACACTTCCCCAGTTAGATGAGACACAGGTATCTACAGATACACTTCCTCAGTTAGATGAGACACAGGTATCTACAGATACACTTCCTCAGTTAGATGAGACACAGGTATCTACAGATACACTTCCTCAGTTAGATGAGACACAGGTATCTACAGATACACTTTCTCGGTAAGTGATAAAGGGATACAGGAAGTTAAATAAGGATATCTTTTTATCAGTTAAAAAGCCATTTCCATGACAAGAAATTATTTTTAAAAATTTGCATATATGTGACCTTTGATCTTAAGGTCAAGGTACATAGTGGCAATGATCTGATGCCAAAGCAATGCACTTTTTGGCCCACACAAAAAATTACTGGAAAAAAATTGCACTGATTTGTACTTTGATAAGATCAATGTCAAAATTCCCTGACAGTGCACTGTATATAAGCTTTAGGTGAAGCAAATATGTTGCAAGTTTCATAAAAATATCTTGATTATTTTAGAAGTTATGGTCCACACACACCAGTGATATGTGCACTAACAATACCAGAGTGAAAATGTTCTATCATAGAGCTATATCTCTCCTAATCTGTGGTTGCTCCTCACCTGATTAGCACAATACATCACAGCAAGATCACAGTTGTCCGGATTTCCTGAAATTTACAAATCAATAGTTCACAAATAACCATTATGAGAGAATTTGTCGCTTAAATGGTAAATCTGATAAATTCAAAGGACTATTGTATTGGTGAGATCATTCTCCATAGTAAACTTAACAACAAACACAATTGAATCACGGTACATAAACAGTAAATATATACAGTAGCAGGTGCCTTTGGTCTAGAAATTATGCCCACTTTCACCCATTCAAAAAGAACACATTTTATACTGTCTACAAATGCCTTCCTTTTCAACAGAAAGGGCAACCTAAATAACTTGTTTAGAAAATCTAAGTTACCCTTTTTATGCTTCTCAAAGTCTCTTTTTTTCCTTTTTTTGTTTTTCTTTTCAACTGACCCCTTTTAATCTGTTGGTAAATTTACCCTTTTGCCTGACCATTTTTACCTGCCTGTAAGTCTGACCCTTTTTACCTGCCTGTAAATCTGACCCTTTTTGCCTGCCTGTAAGTCTGACCCTTTTTCCTGCCTGTAAGTCTGACCCTTTTTACCTGCCTGTAAGTCTGACCCTTTTACCTGCCTGAAAGTCTGACCCTTTCTACCTGCCTGTAAGTCTGACCCTTTTTACCTGCCTGTAAATCTGACCCTTTTTGCCTGCCTGTAAGTCTGACCCTTTTACCTGCCTGTAAGTCTGACCCTTTTTACCTGCCTGTAAGTCTGACCCTTTTACCTGCCTGAAAGTCTGACCCTTTTTACCTGCCTGTAAGTCTGACCCTTTTACCTGCCTGAAAGTCTGACCGTTTTTACCTGCCTGAAAGTCTAACACTTTTTACCTGTCTGAAAGTCTAACACTTTTTACCTGCCTGAAAGTCTAACTCTTTTTACCTGTCTGAAAGTCGAACTCTTTTTACCTTTCTGAAAGCCTAGCCTTTTTTACTTGTCTGATAGTCTGACCTATTTTTTGACAAACATTGTAAATCTTTTATATAACATAAAATCTTACCATGTTTGATAGACAATATATGTACACGGTCATCTTGTATGTAACAAATGGCAGCAATTTCATGAATTGGGATCCGCAAAAGCACCTACAAAATAATAACATCAATTCTTAACTCACAGTGTGAACCAAAAAAAAATCAACAATACATGGCTTCTCATAAACAGTACTTTTCCTCAAACCTTTCTTTGAAATAAAATTGCCTGCTAGGAAACAGATTGTATGAAAATGCTGTTGTACAGACAATTATAAATATAAACAGGATTTATGAGAATACTGCTGTACAGACAATTATAAATATAAACAGGATTTATGAGAATACTGCTGTACAGACAATTATAAATATAAACAGGATTTATGAGAATGCTGCTGTACAGACAATTATAAATATAAACAGGATTTATGAGAATACTGCTGTACAGACAATTATAAATATAAACAGGATTTATGAGAATACTGCTTTACAGACAATACAATTTAAGAGAAAATTCTTACCTCATTGTCAACGCTCTTCAGCAGCTTAATGTTGCTCTTACTAACACTAAGGATGACTTCCAACTCAAACTTGGACTGTAAGGGGATCCTCCCTTGTTTCTACAACACACCAACTGTTTACTCAAAGTCTGGACCTAAAAATCCCCTTCCTTTGTTTCTACGACACACCAACTGTTTACTTAAAGTCTGGACCTACAAAACTCCCTGCCTTGTTTCTACAACACAAATAACTTACTTGGACACACGATCATCCCCCAAAAAAAAACCCCACTAATTGCATATTATGATTCTCATCCCCAGCATAAGAAGGATACAATATTTTGAGATATTAGGGGTTTTTTAAAATAATAATACATAACAGATATTTTTGAACAGAATATATTTAACCCTACCTTACCCAGCCCTGTGATCTACCATTACTAATGGCTGCAATATCATTTCAGTCATAAATTACCTTTCCACTATCAATTATCCGCAGCACCTCTGTCCTGTTTGTGACATCTACCTCCATTGGAACTCCATGTATTACCCCAGCAAACTGTAACAGGTAACTCATAACTACATAACATAGACCATCATAATTGTGTTATTACTTGCCTAATGTTGCAGAATATTATTGGCATACATTATCAATGTTATATCTCTTTGCACTTTTACAAAAATCTGCAATTCTACAGAAAAATATAATCAACAACAGTCACCTACACAGTAGGTTTAAATATTTCAAAAATCTATATTAAACCCTGAAAGAGTTCATATCTTACCCGCACAATAAATTCCTTATAGTCATTCTGTGTAAAGTCTGCTGAAGATGTTGGATAGTCCGGTGGACTCATGGGCTGACTTGCTGCACCCCTACCTGGGTCCTGTCGAGATAATCGACTATCTCGCGGTCTGGCTCCTGGCCCAAACTTATCATTTCTCTGAAACATTACTACAGACAATCTATTCACAGTAAACTCTATCACTTAAATTAAACCAATACTTGTTCTACAGTAAAAACTGCTGCTACGATAAAAGGCTACTTTGTTAATTGTTATTTAGCATCTTTATCAACAGTTAAACAAACAAACAAACACAACCAATGAAATAATATCATTCTATTCTAAATACAAAAAGTTGGAAATTAAACACATGGACACAGTGCATTGCGTATTTCTGCTTGTGAATTAAGTAATAATATATTTTCAAAAAATCCCAGGTTTTAATCATCCAAAATCAACACTGTTCTCTGTTAAATCAATAATAATGATACTATGTCTTCTCACGTGTAGCTACTGGAAGGGTTTTTGAGTGTTAGTGGGTTTTTTTAAGAGGGGTGGACGGGAAGGTTAAGTCATCCGCCACCAGGTTTTCTATACTCTACTGGTGTAAAAGTTAGACAAAACAAAAAAAGAACTTTTGGTGTTTATTTTTCAAATGGTAACTTGTTGACTGTATTATTTACGTATACCCACAAATGCAGGTTGTGCCCATCCTGTTCATGTGACTGCCATTTTGTGTGGCTTCTTTCAAAAAACATATATGACTTATCTGTGCACAAATGAGTCAGAATTCTGAGGACAAAAACCATCTGTAATGTGAAAAGTTTCAGTGCATGCTCGCAAATCCAACGGTGTTCCAAACCTAACAGAAGGGAGTTAAAAAGTTTGTTAGGAACATAAAGTGTAAAAAAAATTCAGAATTCTAACCTTTCTCTTCTTCGTCAACTCTTCCTTTGAGAACCAATCACCATTATCCATCATAATGGGGATAAAATGTACCTAAAATAACTCCATTAGCATCAAACCACGGCCATATATTTCAGTCACGTCGTGTTTACCAACATATCACAGCCATTTGTGTTTCCTGAAACAAAATCTCCGTCACTTAGACGCTTTTCCCAAATAAGTCGAGTTACCTCCCCTAATACATATCTGCTTTGCTCTTATAAAACCTAGAAGATACGCCAATTTGGTGATGAAGAGTAAATAAAAGTGAGAAAAAGGTAATGTTGTGTTTTGACGACTTTTTTGTTTTTAAAATGGCGTTTTATTCTCAGTACATTCTTATTATGAAAAAAAAACAGTCTTCATACAAAAAAGTTACGTATAATAAACACATTTTTTAAACAAGAGTGTTGGACATTGTTCTCCAAAAGGTGCACGTTATAATATTATGTTAGAATCTTGTTTAAAATCGAAAGAATCGATATTTATACATCCAATGTACAAGTGAATATTTACTGGATGCATTATGGAACAATATATTTAAGATATTATTCAACAAACCACGAATGTGTCTCCTTTTCTTTGCTATTTGTATTGATTCTATAACCAACAAAACCAGCACTTTTATTAGTAAGTTGAAATAGGTCTGGAAAGTGTAAACATGCATTGACATAGCCGTGACTGTCAAGGACTCAAGGCTTCCAGGATGATGGATTCTCACCAGTTGCATTTCTGAGTAATCATTTATCAGGGGGAACTATATGGTCTTTGGCCTTTTACATAAAGTGTAAAGGGAGGTACGTGTGTGGCAAAAAATGTAGGTACTACTGAATTTGACTTCCAAAAAAGATGCAGAACATTTTAAAGTAAAAGAACACAGTATAGAATTATTATATGCCCCTTTTCATAATATTTCGAAAAAATACCTCCTTAATACTATTATAATGACTTTCATAAATGTATCTCCTTCCTAATATTTCAGATAATTGTTCTCTAGATACTATTCTGATAACCGTCATAGATGTATCCCCCTCCTAGTATAGGGGGAATACATTTCTGATTGACAAAAAAGTATTCCCGGATACTTTAGGATGGGGGATACAAATATGTATTATTTTGATATTGTGAATCTCATCTGTGACGTATGATCGGGCGTCCCTGATATTATGTGTTATTTTGATATTGTTAGATATCATGTGGGACGTATGATAGGGCGTCCCTGATATCATTGTGTTATTTTGATATTGTTAGATATCATGTGGGACGTATGATATGGCGTTCCTGATATCATTGTGTTATTTTGATTTAATATTGTTAAATATATCAATATCAGTTCAATTTTGAACCTCACCTGATTTAACTTTATAGAAATGATCGAACCTCTTTATGTAAATTTAGAACCCCAAATCAAAAACTTTCCTTATGGACATGAAGATGGAATAAAGTTCTATATAATAAGTATTACACAAATTTACCATTGGATCGTGTATCTTCCATGATTAATGCTGTACATCTTCTGTTTTTACGACCTCTAGTTACACACGTTTACGTGTTGCACGAGGTTGCTTGAGTGAAGGAATAAAATCTTGAGCCAACATTCATGATTCGCCTGTTTGAAGTATACATTATATTATAAATACACTAGTACAAACAAATTGTTATTAACTAGAGATCGACGGATTGTAGCAGATTAATACATAACTCTGGGTTATAAATTACATATTTCAATCTTAAAGAAATTCGCATGCCAAATATCATAGTTTCAAAGATCGAGCGTAAGTGATCTGAACCGCTGGTGTTTTAAAGTATTTTCTTCTGTGACACATATATCATACATGACACAAAGCGTGATTCGTGTTCAGAGACTTGAAAATCACGCGCACGGCGCGTTGTGACGTTAGCCTAGACACCCTGTATGCTAATCCTACAATATATATATATGCATACATGCATACACAAAACTGTTCAAATAGAAGATCTGAACCACCAAAATACGTAATTTGAACGAGTGACATACATGTATATAACATTTTATTTATTAATTTTAAGTTTCGTTTAAGCCATAAATGCAAATTTGGTAGTTTAAACCAGAATTTTTGACGCACTTTATTTGGTAATCAGATTACAACAACAGTGTGAATGCGCGACACTGGTAAGCGATTTAGTCTCGCGTACATTTAATTTGGATTTTGTTGTATCACTATATACATTGGGATTGGGCACAAGTTGGCCAACTTATATTAAGCCCTTTCCTGAAAACTATTGTACAAACAAATATACAAGTTGGCATGTTTAAGTGACAAAAGTATCAGAGAGAGAGAGAGAGAGAGAGAGAGAGAGAGAGAGAGAGAGAGAGAGAGAGAGAGAGAGAGCTAACAACACAAAAGTATCGGAGAGAGAGAGAGAGCTAACAACACAAAAGTATCGGAGAGAGAGAGAGAGAGAGCTAACAACACAAAAGTATCGGAGAAAGAGAGAGAGAGAGAGAGAGAGCTAACAACACAAAAGTATCGGAGAGAGAGAGAGAGAGAGAGAGAGAGAGAGAGAGAGAGAGAGAGAGATATACAAAACAAAATTTTATCGGAGAAATAGAGAGAGAGAGAGAGAGAGAGAGCTAACAACACAAAAGTATGTTTCGGAGAGAGAGAGAGAGAGAGAGAGAGAGAGAGAGAGAGAGAGAGCTCTATCTATAGAGAGAGAGAGAGAGAGAGCTAACAACACAAAAGTATCGGAGAAAGAGAGAGAGAGAGAGAGAGAGAGAGCTAACAACACAAAAGTATCGGAGAGAGAGAGAGAGAGAGAGAGAGATAACAACACAAAAGTATCGGAGAGAGAGAGAGAGAGAGAGAGAGCTAACAACACAAAAGTATCGGAGAGAGAGAGAGAGAGAGAGAGAGAGAGCTAACAACACAAAAGTATCGGAGAGAGAGGGAGAGAGCTAACAACACAATTGTAATCTGACATTTATAAAGATAATATAGTTAATATGGTCTCTCCCAGACAAGGACAACACCATGAACTGTTCACTGTACATTGCTTTCTTACTTTTCTAATGTTCATCACGTCCCGTGCTCAAGTGCTTTCTACTCTTCATTTCGAATCCTTCTGAATACACACCCATGGTGCCATCCATTCCGGGAGAGACCAATAATTATATTTACGTACATTAATTATAATTATATATCGACGGTAATATATGTTAGTTTCAGCGACAATATTATAAATAAACGAGGTAAAAAAAGTATCTAAGAAAGAGAAGGAAATCAAAATCTATTAGAGTCTATAATATACTGTTGAGTGACTTGACTTATTCTAAAATTATCATGTTCAGATAGATTGTCATTACCATATAAGAGCAGATGCAGGTCAATCGGAATATAACTATTTAACTCACGAAATAAAATAACATAAAATTGTTACAGACAAAGAAATAGTGAAAGGTGTCTTCAATAGGGTGTCCACATTGACAGTGTCGATAATTGATTAAATTAGCTCTATAGAGGTCATTGTTTAGAGTGCTGGCATGATTTCGTAGTCTGACGTGGAGTATATTTTTTCCTATCGCCGAAATAATAGAAGTTTGGAACAGTTATGTTGCGTTTAAGGGATTTTTAAAAAATGGTATGATAAACTTTGCCTTATTTCTAAATCGAGCTGATTCCAGAACCTAGTAGTGGAGGGGAAGAAAGATGAGTTTGTTAATTGTAGTCGGAAATTTGGTAATGAAAAATAATGTGAATTACGAAGATTGTAAGATGAATTTTCGGAAACTAACGGTGGTAGTAAGGAAGACAAGTAACTTGGTGTTAGATTGTTAGTCATTTTGAAATTTTGAATTTTTTAATAAAATAACTGTAACTTCCTTAGAGTTCGTCTTTCAGACAATGGTTCTAGCCCACTTTCAAAGTAAAGGATTCCCTACTGGCGTAAGATGGTAGTCCGGTTATGATTCTGACAGCGTCTAATTGTAGTTTTTCAAGTTTGTCTGCATCGCTGCGAGTGCACCCGTCCCAAACTTCACAGCTATACTCAAACAATGGTAGAATAAAAGCTTTGTAAATCTTATATAAAGTTTGTCTATTAAGTATATATTTAAACTTACGAAGAACATTTAACTGTTTAGAAACATTAGTACATACATTTTCAATGTGTTTAGTCCATTTACAGTTTTCGTTTAATATCTCTCCCAGGTGTTTATGACGGTCTACAAATTCAACACTTACATTATTAAAGGTTACGTCTATATTATTATCGTATTTCTGTTGGAAATGAGTGAAGCCTCTGTTTTTAGTGGGTTAAATTTAACTAGTCATGTTCTGCCCAATTTTTAATTTTTACCAGATCGTTATTGATTTTAGTTTCGATGGTCATCAGAGAATTATCAGAACACAATAAAGAGGTATCGTCTGCAAATAATATTGAAAGGCTTTCAAGGCCATCAGTAATATCATATATGTATATAATCAACAGTAAAGAACCTAAAACAGAGCCTTGAGGCACACCAGCATTCGTAGTCTTTACAACAGACTTACTATTTCCAACAAAGACCTGTTGCGTTCTATCACCTACATAGTTGTTTAACCAATTCAATAGTTTCCCACTTACTCCACAATTTGCTAGTTTAACATTCAGTCCCCTGTGCCACACACGATCGAACGCCTTAGAAATATCACAAAAAAACTAAACAAGTTGGTTTCATTTTTTCAAGATATTCACATATAGTGTGATAAATTTCAATCATTTGATGGGCGGTCGAATGACCCTATTTACCATGCTATGTTCCCTGTTTATCCTGTAAATCTTCCTGTTTATCATAATATGTTCCCTGTTTATCCTACTATGTTCCCTGTTTATACTGTAATTTTTCCTATCTATCATAATATGTTCCCTGTTTATCCTGTAAATCTTCCTGTTTATCATATGTTCCCTGTTTATCCTGTAAATCTTCCTGTTTATCATACTATGTTCCCTGTTTATACTGTAATTTTTCCTATCTATCATAATATGTTCTCTGTTTATACTGTAATTTTTCCTATTTATCATAATATGTTCCCTGTTTATACTGTAATTTTTCCTATTTATCATAATA